GGAGAAATGTGGCTGGAAGACGACACGGATGCATCTGCTATAATATGCCTGCTCGCTTTTTGCCTTCGTCATTTCCTAAATGGGTTCAGCCTAGTTGTTTCGTGTCCAGGTAGGGCGGATGGCAATGCACTCGTCTCACTCCCTCCTTCTGGAACATGAAGCGACTGATTCCGATATATTTTGAATACAATATATGGATCATCCTGTATACACATCAACTAATGTGCTAGACATTTAATTGCGCAATACATCCAAAATGCTGAGTTAAGATCTCCTCGCCTGCGTTTGTTAATTTTGACTTCTGGATGGACGGGCCAAATCCTGAATGAAGCCAGACATGGTGGATGGGCAATAAACAAACAGTTTCCATACACCCTAAAGATTTAGCATCATATCCACGTATGGATGGATGTGGATAGAATGTACCAGTCCTAAAACTCTGTACGATTATTACTACTCGCAGTTTCAGTTCCATTCAAATATGGAATGTCTTATTGGACGCCTAATTTGCGCCATAAATGCTGTTTATTCTTCAGCAGTGGCACCATCCTCGTCTCCGTAAATCACGGGAAGTGTCAAACAATTTACGACCCTACTTTTTGCAATCATTCCACACGTTTTATCTTCACGAGGAAGGAGAGTAAGTTGCCATTTTGTTGACAACTAACATCAACAAAGGATTGTGATGCGGATAATCTGTTCCAAGATTTATCTACATATAACAACGCCATAAACCTTTGCACACACCACTCGGATGGCACTCCACAAAATTGGTGGACTTTAAAAAGTATGCAAAGGAGGGAAATGAATGGCTTGTTTTTCTGTGCGTAAGTATCTCAGCACTGGCTCAGAGGCAGGATTTAAGGGAAATACGCCAAGAAAGGTAGAATGTGGTCCATTTTTCACCAGTCGTACTCGCCTATTTCCTCGCTCCTCGAGTCGAGAAGGGTTCCTTTAACCATATTCAAAATGTAGTCCCATCCATTCTTCTGCAGCGTTTTGCATGATCTCAAAAGCAGTGATTTCGGTGGAGTGAGAACATTGCTCAAAATTCAAAATGATAAAGAGAACCAGCGTCTTGGTCCATTTCTCAAAAGTTGAGCATGAAATCTAGTGTGGAGGCAGACATCAGATGTAAATGCGTGCGTACACAGAAGGCGACTGACAAAGTCAAGCCGGGAGAAAGAGGGGATGACTTGAAGCAATGAATGTATCTGTGTTCTGTCCTGGAAGATATTTGTTTGGAAATTGCATTCCACGCAAGAATTTCTTCAAGAAGCTTCGCAAGAAAACTGTACTCAAATGTGTACGCATGCAGACTCGCCGACTTTTCCCTACGCATTTTCTGAGAAAAATTACCCTCGATTTTTCGGAGAAAAAAATATCCCAAGTGCTTGCAATGATTGTTGATGCGAACCGTTTAGAAAAATCTATACCGCAAAAAGTAGAAATCTATACATACATATATGCACAAGAAGAGTCACTAAACGGTTTCAGTCTGCATTATCCTATGAATATCCATAGAGAGAGAGAGAATATTTTTCACCGTTTGTAGCTGCTGAGGCTGAATATTGGATTTGGTATGCATGCCTGAGTCGGTGAGGAGCATATCCATAAGTGGTCTGGGTGGTGAGAAGGAGGGAGAGAAAGTCCACGGGGTATTTTTGTCTAACAATGCATGGGAAATGGTAAACTCTGAATTTCAAATTGAATCCACTTCCAAATTTGAGAGCATAAAGACTTTCCATTTCTGCCAGGCAAAACATTTTTTTCTCTTTAGACACAATTTATTTAGGAATTTGTTGTGTATCAGCGCTTTCACCGAGTTGCAAATTTTCTGATGGTAATTAAAGTATTTATCAACTTGAGAGTGGAGATGGTAGAAAGTAAATGACTCTGAACGAGACAACGCGACAATTTAAGATGCGTGGAAATGCGAAGCACATTTGTAAAGGAGTCTTATCATCAAATTATTGTGTCTGTGATCCGCCTTAATGCCGGCTTGGAAATGCATTTAGTTTTCTCTCAAAGCAAACCACGACTGTGTCCGCGGGTTGAACTCCTCTGTCAGGCAGGAGAAACAAATTGTCCGAGTTGTTGTGGACGGGAAGAGAAAGCGAAGCAAGATGTGCGTATGGCAGTGTGGATGGAATCTTGGTTTTTTGTTGCTTAAAAAGTGTGTAGCAGGCAGCAGGGTCCATAAAAAGAGGAGCAGATTGGAATTGCTCTGGCTGGATTTTCGATTGAATTTATTTGAGGATGAAATGGCTTTCCGACTTTTGGAGTTTTGTGCTGAAAGAGTTCGCCGCAAGGACGACCACACACGCGACGACTTTCTTCGCCTCTCACGGCTTCCTCCTCATCCTGCTTTGGTCAGTCGTCACCAGACTTCATATCCTTCCTTGAGCTTTCGTGGATACAGTTCGAGAGAGGAGGGGCTGAGAAAGAGCGAGTGATGAGACTTCACGGGATGACAGGACAGTTCGCGATTGGCGATATATCCCATTATTGAAAGGAAATAGCGGATCAAGGAACAAGTTGCATGCAGCAGCGACTTCTGGCCTCTCGCAAGTTTGCTGCCGTGAGTGAAAGTGGGTTCGCATTTAGTGAGGGGAAGAAGAATCAACCAAAAAGAGCAGCGACTACTAATCCGCTCCATTGTCTTACAAGCTCCTGAACGAATACGGGCAGCGAAGAGCCGTCGGTCGGTTGCATGGATGGCTTTCCTTCCTGCATGGTTCGCCCTCTTGTTGTGACAAGAGAGCCAGCGACGGATGACATTGGCAAAGACAATTCGGTCTGACTCACTTGAGCCGAATGTGCAATTTTGCTCGTTATTGTGGATCCTGCGGCTTCCTACCCGCAACAGTGGCAGCCATGCGAGATTGATTCATCCAGGCGGAGTGATGAACATTTTTATGACGTACAAGAAGCCGAGAGAATGGGGATGAGAATGACGAGCGACGACTGAATGATTTCATGTTCGCATCTCCCTTTCTGTAATTCACAGTCGGTTGGCTTTGCGATAGGAGCCGTGCATGGTTAAAGGGACACAGCGACACTGTATCAATTTCTGAGATGATAAATGAGAAAAGTCACATTCCCACTCCACAAGGCAGAATGATTCCCTGCATGGAACTGGTTGCTCCGTCTGATGCCGTGGCAGTGGTTTGCTTTGACGGGCACCAGCACATCGGAGGGATTTAGAGCGTATTATGCGAACGAGGAGTCTTCATATTATGAAGGCGTAAACTGGGGAAAGATGCTTGTCAGTCAATTTTTGAGACGGAGAGATTGAGAGATGCAGTGCGTAGGAATGGGATAAAGGACGAGGGTTGCTCATACGGGGCGTTGGTGGAGGGCATGGAGAAAGCCGTAAACTTTTTTGAGAGCAACTTTATTACAGTATCAAATGGCCATCAGTTCAAATCTCACATTCTCCCAGTTCGTAATCCACGGATAAATCAAGTGTCAAAATTCTAGGGTTTTATATATTTGATCGATTTCTCCGACTTTTACAAACGAGGCAGGCGACAGGTACGTAGATGTGTGTGCGCAGAATATATTGCGATAAAATTCCAGACAGTTGATACCCCCAAAATTAAAAGTTGACAGGTATATTGCACATATTGTGGCCGTTGTTGTGAAGGTTAAGGATAACTAGATACGCGAGAAGAAACCATTAACCACCAGACGGACGAGTCTTATATAATCGCATAAATATTTTCCATTTTGTAACAAACTTGACTTGACTCTGCTGTAGGACGACGAGCAAGTTTATATTTTATGCTTTTTTTATGATTTCCACCAATATTCACTCAGCCAGGGAGGGTCAAGTACAGGATTGTTACCTGGAGGCAATAACAATGGGCAAATGGAGCCCAACCGGTTTCTTATTCCTTTTTTCTTCAACTTTTGGTCCAGTGGCCGGACAGGAATTGCTCAATAAAGAAAAATACTACAAAATGCACAATAAAATATAACAAAAGAATATAAATATACGGTCGACATATGCACAGCACAACCACGAAAAGCGTTCGAGCAGCCGTCTCAACCCCAGCAGAAGGGGATGAGATCATTCTCAACCGCTTCTGCTGGTCTAATAATCTAAAATTCTCGCAGTTTACGGAGAAGAAAAACGTGCTGCATAATGAATGTTGGGTGGGGGAGATGTTATATTGTTTATAGCATTTCAGGTCCTATTCTGCACAAAAACTTGAGAATCTTCAAGTTTTTTTTTGCAAATTTCTACACACGGTATCCTTCCCTCCCATTCCGGAACTACATATTCCATTTCATTTCATTTCAACTTTTATTCACGTGTAAATGGATATCAGTTAACATATTCTGATCTTATCGAGTTTCGTTGAGTTTCTCTCTAGAAAACTGCTCTTCTGTCGTAATAATTAACAATGCACAAATGCGTAAAGATTGGGTGGACACAAAATTAAGAGTAACCATACGTAGGTACATACTAATCTTACTATTTAACTCTGGTCTGGAGTAAATGAGTAATAAATATGGAATAGGAGCGAAATCCATGAAAAAGAATCTCAGCTTCGTCACGCGAGCCTTGAGGTGAATTGAGGAAACAAAGACCAAGACAAGAAAAGGAGGTTCAGCAGGGCGGGCATGAACGACAATCCACGCACACTACACTTTTATTGCACCTTGATTCAAGTTGATTGTTGTAGTTTTTCGGATTTTGCTATATTTTCTCCTTATTTCGACTTTTGAAGGATTTCTTTGGTTCAACTCCATTCTTGTTGGTGAGTTGTTGAGTCAGTCTGGTTTTCTTTACCAAGTCATGATAATTGCGACGGTCAGGTCGGCTCGGCATGGTTAGGCATGGCACACATTGCATGTGTCGAGTATTTTGTGATATTATCATCCACCAAAGACGAATATTCATTTTACGATTAATAATGATTTATGAACAACAATTGTAATTAGTTGAGCCTTGACCTAACTCCTTATTTCTGTTTGTTTTGTATTTACAGAAGTACTTTTCATCATCTCACGAGTTTTACTGTAGGACGATCTTCTAGCCAGTTTTTACTAATCGTTGGACATAATGGGTAACAAGAGCAGCAAGTCTGTCAACATCTCCACCCCCGGAAAGGGAGACGTCGCAGTCGACGAGAACAATCACGTCGGAAATGGCGACACTGGCAAAAATGAAACCAACAACATCATTGAGGTAAGTGTAAAATAATTCTTCATCAGCTTGACAAATGTACATATATGCATTCTCCATCATTTAAATAGATTCTCAAATTCAAAATGATAGGTCCTTCGATTGCAATTTTCTTTCTGGCGACTGATGGCCTGTCAATTTAATGAAACACTACATTAGCTTAGCTTTTTTGTTTTGATTTTTTTATTTATCGAGTTTGGTAGTGGATTTTATGAGTCTCAAGTTACGACTCATAACAAAGTAAGGATTAAGGTGCCAACTGCACGTAGATTCATGCATTATTTATTTAAAAAAGGATAGTTGTCTGAGCTTGAAATTCTCTCTGGCTTAATTAAATCAAGGTTGTGCCCGAGAGAAGCTAATAAAATCTTTCACGGAATCGTTAAATTGCATCCAAGAATTTTTGATGGCTAGAGTTAACAAGCTCCATATACTTATATAGTAAGTTTATTAATTCAACCATTTAACAAGGCTTTGTTTTTCATGACTTGCATCAGGGGGCGAAGGAGCAAGTGAAGGATCTGATGAAGGATATTGCAATAGAAGCCGTGAAGAAGGGCGAAGAAGTGATGGCAGAAAAAGAAGCGGCGAAACCGAAGGAGAAGGAAAATGATGCTAAGGCCGAGACCAAGGAGGTGGCGAAGGACGAGACCGCTGAGCCGACCACTCCTGCCACCAAGGAGGGCGAAGAGGTCGACAAGAAAAAGGTCCAAAAGAAGCGATCAATCCGAAGCAGATTAAGCTTTCTCAGCAAGGACAAGAAAGCCAAGAAGGAGAAACCCAAGCAAAACGGAGACGTTGAGGTGAGACATTCCACCCCACTCTTTTTTCCCGATACTCGCAACTGCAATGCACAAATATTAATCTCCAACTACGCAACAGGCAAGATGGGTCTAGGTCATGCTGCAAATGAACGAGCGAATGAAAACATACTTGCGACAACTGTATGCATTCTTTTATCCTTCTCCATTATTACTTTGCATGGTTTTCTGCAGAGGTTAAAGTAATATCTCTGGAGCCAACTGGCATAACAGAACACCTATCAATCATTCACCGTCCAGCAGAGTGAATACATGCATACCTGATCCTGCCAATATAATCGCTATTATTCATGCTAATAATTATATTGCATATTGCTAATGCCGAAGCTTGAAGGAAAATCTATGAACCCAGAATGCAATATATTTTTCTCCTTCCAAGCACAGCTATATGTCGCCTATCTGTCATGCACGTTCAGTATTTAGGTATTATGAGTAGATTAACAAATTACTCCGACTTTCATCAGTCAAGTCAATCCATATCCACCATATAGCGGATTATCGTGGTGACTGTGCGCATATGTGGACAGGATATTTACAGCAATATAATATTATCTGCATATTTTAAGAAGGATATATTGTTTATCTGTCTTTCTCTTCACCTTACCCATTACCAACTTGCACGGATGCGACGGATGTCCATTCAAATTGGGCTTGACTTTGCATCAAAGAGCCGAATAGTTCATGACTATCTATTTGCTTCTTCACCTCTATTCGTTCGTGCTATTTCATTTCTAGTTTCATATCCCAGAGGGCAACTTGAAAGGTCTTTACTAAAGTAGGAACTTTGGAGTGGTCTAGAATTATATTTTTAAGCTGGTCAAAAGGAAGCAGGAAGATCCAATTCATCCCTGTGAATAAATAAACAACAACGTAAACTTTTGCTCGCATACGTAATAAAAAGATTTCATATCGAGATGGAATTGTTGAGGTCTTTGGTCTCCTCCGTCTTTGGTACTCGCAAGGTAGGGACAATTTCCTATGTTCAACTCAATGGTACATAAACGTCATCATCAATCGGCTCATATAATATTGACTATGTATCAGCCCCGTCAAGGAATTAAGGGTTTTAGAAATCTTCTGATGTGGCATGCTTTAATATGAAATTACTTTGTGGTTGTAGAAGAAGGAGGGGGAGGAGGCAGCAGCAGCAGCAGAAGGTGCCGAAGTCAAGGCAGAGAAGCAAGAGAATGGGACGATTGTGAAGGAGGAGAAGCCAGAGGTGGAGGCCCCCAAGGTTGTCGTTCCCGTGGTCGAAGCGGTAGAGGAACCGGCGAAGGTTGAACCAAAAGTCGAAGATGTCAAGGAGGAAGTGAAACCAGTGGTCGTGGAAAAAGTCGAGGAAACGAAAGTAGATGAAATCAAGGTCGATGAAGTCCACCATCAGGTAACATTTCTCCCATTATCTTGATAATTGCAAAAATGAGACTAGAACTTCATGGGGAAATGTTCATAAAGTGTACAACGATTTGCAGCAATACGTTAAAATGATGTATGTATATTTTATTTTACTAAATTCCCCTGCAGGTCGAAGAAACAATGGAGACATCCATCACGGAGAAAGTCGAATCCCTAGTGGAAAGCATCAGCAAAATGGAGGTTCGTCCTTGATTAAATACTATACAGTTGGCATTATTATCTATGGAATGTGGCTAATTGTCGTTTGTGGTTAATGCTCAGGTAAAAGAAGTTCAAGAGATCACTGAATCTATCACTGAGAAGACCGTGGAGTCCATCAAGGTAACAAAAGAGGCGATGGAAGAATTTACCGAGACCATTACGAACGGAGTTTCGGTATGTCCGATGCTAAATATATTTGATTTTACACATTTAAATTATTATATTAGCAGGATATAATTTTAAACGTATTGATATTTTTAGGAAATAAATGGGCATAAAGAAGTGGTTTCTGCCGAATGAGTATCGCCACTCATTCATTCATCATTTCTTCTTCTACATTCATTCAACAATTCTACAAAAAACTGTGCACCTACGTGTGAAAAAAATTCTAAACAGCCATCGCAAATTAATACTTACAGTAATCTCTAAAATTTAGATGCTAGCTATATAAAGGAAAGGAATTGATCGCAGATAGCAGTTGTTTATAAGTTTATACCTAAAACACGGTAATCATTAAGTTTAGAGACACGATTAATAAGCTCTACACAACAACTACCCATTACTGGCTCTGCTGCAACATTACAAAAGTAACAACGTTTTTCGATACGATTTAAACTGTAACATTAACACAGTTTTCATGTTTGTTGTTCTACTAAAGTTTTCATGCTTTGAATGTTGTACATATTATTAGTAAGACGTTAGTACGTGGATGCTATTATTATTATACCAGAATCTAAGATTGCACAATTTTAGTTCTTAGCCTACAACTTAAGCAAGTTCATTATAACAATATCAACAACTGCGTATCGTTATTAATTCTTATGCGAACCATGATATATTCCTTTACCAATTAAATTATTATTATTATCATTATAATTTTTGGAGATATTTTAGTAATGCTTTGATTCATTTAATTAATGAAAATATTTTCTTAGTCTCATGGATAAATTGATTACAGATTATAGACAACAAAAAATATGCCTCATTCACATTCAGATAAATTTTTTCCCCTTCAAGTTTGTAGTCTTATTGACGAGCAATTGTTAACTAAATTTTGCTAAATATATATGAATATATTCTGCTCTGCAATACATGCGCTACCCACTGATTAATAAGTATGATATAAGCGTAATTTACAACAATAAACTATTTAGGCTTTTTATCAATTCGTAATGTAGATAATATGTGGATGTGAATCTAGGTCTTAAATAAATAATCATAAAATGGACCATTTTACGCACAATTTTATTATCATCCTTTTCGCATAATGCATGACACATTCCATTGCTCACCTCATGAGTCATGATAAAAACATCATAGGCATTTTATCTCATGGCATCTCCTTCTGTGTCGCAAAACTTCACACGCGACGCATGGGAAAAGGCATCTCTAATTCTAATGGGGAAATTGTTGATGAGAAAGTGAGATTCTTGTTGAGGGCAGGGAAAGTGAGACGAGCAAGCGGTTGCTCTGTTGCAGCTGGGTTCTTTTTTATTTAGGCCACGCCACATCGAAAACGGCTCCTGTTTCCTGTCCTTTTTGGCAAGGAAATTGCTGCTTCGTTGTTCCATCAATAATTTCGCCAATTCCCACTTGCAGCTCTCCGGCTGTCGGGACTCGGGACGAAGAATAGCTTAGCAGCAGGCCACTTTTACTCTATTTTTGACAAAGTGTGGTGCACAAGAAGCTGATACTCATTAATAGCATCATCATAAACAAGCAAGAAGACTCCATCCACTTGAATAATAATCATTCCCACAATTGCAGTTTAACCATAGTCAATCACTATTAAATAGTAGTAAAAATGCTGGTTAAAGAGTATCGAGTGGCAATGCCCATCAGCAAGGAAGAGGTCAGTTTTTCAATATTACTCATTATTAGTCATTATATACTACATCAGTTTTAGTTAGTGGCTACTAGCTATTAGTGGTTAATAATATGTAATTATAATGAAGAAAACCTAATCGGGAGTAAATTTTATTTAGTATCAAGTAGGTCAGTTGTATATGATTGCGAAACACAGCCATGAGCAGTCCGAGTCGGGCGACGGTGTCGAAGTCGTTCATAACGTTCCTCATAACGATCCGATTCATGGGGAAGGTCAATATACCGAAAAAAGGATTCATCTTTCAAGGTATGATAATTTGTAAATAATTGGTGAGCTTGAGTTTGACTGTTTTTGGATTAGATTAGTAGATCCGATCAATGATCAAACAAGTTATCATCATATTATTTATTGTTTTCCAGTCGACTTCCATACTGGCTCCAATCAATCACTCCGAGGGTATTCTATATTACCGAAAAGGCATGGAATTACTATCCTTACACAGAGTAAATACATTGATAACCATTCAACAGCATTAATAATAAAGTAAAATGTATACAAATTAATTACAATTTTTGATGGAAAACTCTCTTTTAGGACTGAGTACACCTGCTCTTTCCTGCCAAAATTTAATATCTTCATACGTACAAAATATGAAAATAATTCTGGGACCACTGAAAATGTAAGTCTAAAATTCAAATATACTTGAGCGAATAAATTGAATAACATCTTGCACCTGGATTATTGTTTTCTAGTGCTTAGAACTTTCTCCGGACGAGCTTGCCACTCGAACTTTGGATGAAATTGATATCGCATATGACGAAGTTGCGCCCAAGCACTACAAAGAGAATGAAGATCCAAAGTTCTTCAAGTCAAAAGCCACAAACAGGGGACCGTTGATGGAAGGTTGGCGACAAACTCACGACCCCATCATGTGTTCGTACAAATTAGTCAAGATAAGCTTTGAAGTATGGGGTTTGCAGACTAGAGTGGAAGACTATGCACACAAGGTAGATTTGAAAATTGGCACAATCTTCGCTTGTGTATAAACGAAAATATCCTTTCATGCCTTATATTATCTACTTACAGGCTATTCGAGATATTTTACTACTTGGACACCGCCAAGCTTTTGCGTGGATTGATGAATGGTTAGCGCCCTAGGCCAGCAGCACTATAACTAAACTGCTACTTATTCACTATTTGATACTGTATTCTTCCTATCAATTAATTCATTATTCCATCTAGGTATGGAATGACCGTGGATGACGTGCGGACCTTTGAGAAAAAAATGCAGGAGGAAACAAACCTCAAAGTGTTATCTGTTGCTACTGAAGGATGTGATGGTGTCGCTGATGGTGAAACTACTCCCATTACTACGACTACTAAATCCGATGAGGAAAGCAAGGAAGACGAAGACAAGGATGGAGATAACTTTGCATCTGCTAAAACCAGTCCCACGAAAGAGACTGCATCAGTTCCCTCGTCGCCCTCTGGGGATGAAGGCGCAGCAGTGGCGAATAATCCGGTGGCTGCAGCAGCTGCAGGACTTCGGTCATGGTTGAATTGGTCCTAACCAATTAGGACCAATGAAGCTGGTTAAAATTTCTGAGTTGTAATCATCTTTAATTTACTCTGTTTGCTGCACGTCGACTTGTGTATGTCGTAATTCAAACTGAATCATTTGCAGTATTTACATCCAAAGTACCGTTCAGTATTTATATCACATCGAAAAAACAGTTAGCTGAAGAATGTTGTTTTTTTTACTTAACCATACTACTTTTTAATTCAGTTACAAAATTGTTACTCTAGTCGCTGTTGACAGTTCTTATCATTGCAATCGTAGTATGAAATTGTAGTTCCTTGAAGGAAACAGTATATATTGTCTCGTCCCCCACACCAAACTCCAAAACCAATGGTGTTGTTCAAAAGGTTGTAAATAGGAATTGTTAGCAGGAGAAATAAGTTCTTACTATTAGATAAGTACTTAAAAGGTTGAATGTTATGTACATATACCAGATCATAATATTTATGCATTTAGCGTACGACGGAAAATGATATTACTAAATCTATATGCGAAAAATAAAATCCGAATGAATTGAAATCCAAGTTTAAAGAAATTCCAAAAACATGTATTATTTATTTTATTATTGAAAGTTCACACAAGGAATAGTAAGAGTAATCATAATAATAATGAGAAGCTGCTGCAAGATATTTCCGTGTGTAATAATTAAGTTATACACCTTCCAATCACTACTACGCTCTTCACCTATTGCTATTTTTTTCTGAAAAATTGTTTTAAAATGAACTCGGAAGAAATAATCAAACAAAACACAACTGCATAGGGTATAATCAATCAAAAGTACTAGTGCATCATTTTGGGAGCATTAAAATCAAATTCAGTAAGGTAACAACCTGTCATTTCACACATATTTTTGCGAATACAACATTTGTCGATAAGTATTATGATTATTATTATATGGTGTATATGATTCGAATCATATCAACGTTGTTCAATACAATTTCTGCAAACTAACTAACACGAAATTTAATGAAACTTTAAAACAAAATCCACCTTCTTTCAAAGTGAAGAAGTGAGTGTGGTTTATTTTAGATATTTCGATTTCCTCTTAATAAAAAAGGAAAGTTGCGTCCGATAAGAAGAGATAGATAACGATCATCGATGACTGGTAAATCAAGTGTTTAAGATATACAGCGGCTTCCTAAGTGCTTAATTCGTTATTCCTCTTGACTTCTTCTAATGCATTTCGCAACTTTCTTCTTGAACTCTGGAAAATTCTCACGCCATTCTTTCTAAAATTATAGTGGCAAAAATTATTAAAAAGATGGAAAAAATATCATTTCAATAGTACATAGTACTGCGGCCATCACTATGATTATTTTTTTCTTACCGCAGCATCAACATTCGCAGGAGACTCATCATTAGGATCCGCCAACATAGATATGACTGATATCAGAATAGTCTCCACCGTATGAACTGTTGAAATAAATAATCACAATCGTATTATTAACCCACAAGTCTTGCAAGTTTCATTGGAATTTTCTTTTCACCTGGTAGCCATCGCTCGGACGCCTTTTCGTATCCCCACTTATCATCACCTGGCTCGTGTAAGATTGAGATGCAAACATCTCCGTTTTTATCAACTAGAATTTTTTTTAAAACATTGTAATGTTGAAATTAAATACTGCAACTTTATAAACGGCTTAAATTAATTACTTCTTATGAGATTTAAGAAAACTTACTATTTGGATGCCAGATTTCAGTTATGAATTTCATCTTGGGCGGCCTTAGTGGATATTCTTTGGGGAAAAATAGGTGTGCCTTGAAAAATCCTCCTTCGCTGCAAATGTGAAAAAGGAATTGACGTTACAGAAAACTGTCTCGTTTATGATTAAATTGATTTGCTACAAGCAGACTTACTAAAGTGTTTCAGGTGGTCCAATAATTAGCACTTCCCATTTGTAAATATCAACATCATCAATAAGTCCAGCAGAGAAACCTTCTACTGGGTTCTTATTTAGTTCTAGATTATCAAGAGAAATTAGATATATTCATAAAAGTATAAATTAGGTGGCAATACACATAATACATAAAGTGATAAGCTCACCTGAGAGTTGTTTACGAAGAAGTAGGGAGGATTGTGATGATTCACCCATAATAATTATTCGATGTGCTACTATTATCTATTAAACAGCAAATTAGCTCAGTCTTTTTGTCCGTGAACACAAAAGTATTCTTGTTTATTTTCGATGGCGCGACAAAATCTGAAAATGAACAAAAAAAGAGATGGTCGATAAGAAATTATCGGCAGTATTTTTTCTCCCAGTAACACTTTGTAGTGCATTATTTATCCGCCAACCTGCGCAAGTCTCCTACAAATGAGAACTATTTGACCACTTTCTCTACCCACCAAATGGTAAAAGTGAGCATTCAGAATTAGAAGGACGCTTGCGTAACTGGTTTTCAATTTATAATTATATTTTAATTGAAAAAGATGAATTTTTTACCTAGACTCGGAAATAATAATTTTTCTTTGTTGGTTGGTGAGTGTGGCGGATGTGAAAAGTAGACAAATTTCGACTGAGCTTTCGTGTCTCGCGGGGCTTGGTGGTGCGGGAGGCTCAAAACTTCACCAAATTTCTTGCGGCCCCAGCTTTGAGATTTTTTGTAAACAACAACAGCATGTTTTTAACATGTTTTTAACTTTACTTTAATAATAACAATAATTGGAACTTTATTAAACTTTAAAGGCACAAAAGTTGGAGTTATCATTGCAAAGTAAGTCATAATGCTTCCCAAATCCATCTGAAAATATTGAGGAGTTATTGCTCTTTGCACTTTTTAAAATTCATTTGTTTACTCTTGTCGTATTATAGTAATTGAGATATAATCTACTGAAAAATGGCTCACCGATATTTCGAAGGAAAGGTCCACGCTATGTTGTATGCGAAGTATCGTACAGTTCCTCCCTCGGCCTTAATTCAACGGATGATTTCATTCCTTAAAGAAAAAGTTTGCTATTTGTTTTATTTTTCATCTTACTTGCATATCACATGCAGTGACGATGTATTTATAATTTTGACTAATTGAGCTTTGATTGTAGTACAAGGGACCATTAGACTTGGCGTATGACGTAGGATGCGGGAGTGGTCAGAGCACGGGATTTTTAGCACCTTACTTTAAACGAGTGGTTGGCACTGATATAAGTGCCTCACAGATTGAACAGGCTGAAAATAAATCTACAGATAAAAACGTTACTTATATGTAGGTTCACAGTTTGAATTATAAATGGCCAAAGTTGCTTGTATGTCCTTTAATTTGTATTTGACTTGTGTAATTTTAGAGTGAGTCCTGCAGAAAATATACCTGAAAAGGACAAAACCGTACAGATGGTAATACTTTGTAACGTACAGTATACGTAGCAGTAAACTAAATTAAACTTTAAATGAGCTCATGAAATGTGATATTTTCAGATATCGGTTTCACAGGCTGCCCACTGGTTGGTAAACACCTCTGCTAAAAAAATACGGCAGTGCTTAAAATTATGTGATCAATTTCATATTCCATGGCCTGTATTTTTCTTCAAGGTTTGACCTTCCAAAGTTTTATGATGAAGGCATGTTTTACCTATAATTAATTTCACAATATTTATAACGATAGTTAATGAGGACAAGTTGAACACAACGTCTTTTACTTTTTAGGAAAAAGGGTGCTCACACCAGGAGGAGTTTGCTGTCTGTATGGTTATGAATTTCCAAGATTTCGGTGGGACAAGGACCCCAGTTTAAATTCCTCCTTGGACGAGGCACTTGACCAGGTCAATACACATTTTCGTTTGGCACGTATCATGAGTAATATATCTTCTAGATTCGTTATTAAATTGTGCTGGTATCGTAAAAATGTATTTCAAGTTTTACTGGGATGAGCTTAAAGAGTATGTCATGCAAGGTAGCAGAGAGGTGTACCTAAACAAATACGAATTGCCGAAATATGTCCCCAATTTTGCTTCGGAATTTATCAGGTGAATAGCTAGAAATATACGTTAATTTGTCTGTTTATCTTGTCTCAGTTATACGACGGAGACTTGCGTGGCTATTGGGCAGCAGAGAGGAAAATAGTAGATAACCGTTACAAGGAATTTTCTATTCCATACAATGATTTTACTAGGTATGCAGTCCTAACCAAACGAATTGAAACATAGAAAATCATGATTGATTGACGTTACCCTTCATTCACGCGTACAAGGGATGACACTTTATATCACGAGATGCCAACTTCTGTGTCGGACATTGTTAACTACTGCTTCACGTGGTCAGGATATCAAAATTTTGTAAAGCAACACGGTGAAAATGAAGGAATTAAACTATTAGCCAAATTTCAAGATAGGTATGGCATGTTACGTACAAATAAAAACATGTGCACTTAAATTAACCCAAACGAAATCATTTTAAGGATTTTACGTTCCTTAGAGTCATGACCGTGCTAGATGTTTCTACCTCTCCCGAAGATACAATGCTGACGAGGCGAACCAGCTTCTTTTTACTGATGGCAAGAGTTTGAGGACATTGGCAGCAGCAATTTTAAACGGATTCTTGACAGTATTTAACAAATTAACCGAATAAGTCAAAAATTAGCTAGCTAAATCAGTTCCTGACTCTTGGATTTATTGATACCAAAAAACTTTTGTATGTGCATAGATACATATATTTTAATAATCATAATAAAGCTTTTAGCTTTTCACATATCACATCACGCAAGTTGATCATTCTACTAACATACATATTAAACTACTAATCGTGATAATATACTTTATAGCGATTGATTTATCATAAAATTCGGCATATTTAGCTTTGAAATCTTCCGTGCAGACGCAATTAATTTTCTTACGGTGTAGATATAGTTTTATCTTCAATGGAAAACAGGTATTAAGGTTGCAAAATAAAGTTTGAACAGGGAAAATATCTTCAATTATTTGCATCAGATCCAGAATCATCACATAAAACTCGGTCTAAGACTGCAATAAAATTAATAAATAGCCAAATTATTAGTTGCGCCACAATGGTTACTTGTACAGTAGTCAATAATTTACGTGTATATAAAGATATGAAGCCGAAAATGTGTGTATGTAAAAGTTATGTTGAGAGCTTCATATCTTTATATACAAATAAATCATTGGTAATGGGAATACAAACCTAATATGACTTGTTCTAATTTTTTGAGATTTTTGAGAGTTCCTGATAGTTCACGGGAAGGACTCTTGTTTGGAGACGAATTAGTACTGGACAGCTCCAACTCTTTAAGCTGATTGACCATTTCCTCCAACAAGGCTCCGTTTTCATTGTCGATATGTTGCATTCTATTTCAAACAATACTCGTCAAAAATTTTAGTAGAAAACAAAAATGTACAAGTTAAGTTAAAACTCACTGTAATTTTTCCAGCAGATGACGTGAAGATGTTCTGACTTTGTTTGATAAACTGTGAATTGTTGCTAGTTGGTATTGATGAAAATTAAATTTAGTTGTGAGAGAGGCATACATACTTACGTAATTCATATTTGCATGTATATTTATAATTACCTATTACGAGATTGTCCAAAGCCTAGAAATGCATAATACAAATCGAATCACATCATTGAATGACTTTATGCACTACTAATTTCGTCGAATCTTTGGGGCATACCTCCAATTTGTTACTTTTAGGTCTAATTGACGAATGCGATGATGACATTCCATAATAATGTCCGTCTTCATGAGACGACCTGCTCATAGGGATGTGAATGGGCGAGTTTGAATGTGAACTATCAATCTCGTCCACAACGTAAATCATGTCCTCTTCTTCTGATGGACACTTTATTGGAAACTGGTGCTCGGAATGGAATGACATAGATTTACTCAGGAAAGCTGCTGATTGATGACTTATACTGCAAGTAATGAGAAATAGTAATTGGCATGCAGTTCTACATCTTACATCCGATTATAACGTATTACTAACCTTGTTGGAGAGATATCATCAAGAGTGGTTTCTAAAGCGGACGATGTTCCCCGCTTTTTCCTCGCCTCAGCGGCCGCCTTCAATGGATCATAGCTTTTCCTTCGACGCCAATTGGCCATTTCTACTTCTTTTGCTGTCAACGTGGAGTTGCTCCTGCTTCCGGTTGGGGGTTTGCGGGGATTGAAATTATTATTGTTTGCCGTCGAGTTGGAGGAACTAAGATGGGTTGAAGAGGAGGCTGTTGGGGTGTGTAAACTTTGTCGTCTTTTCGTGTTGGGGTCAATGCGTCCCCCGGAAGAAGCGCAACGGTTCCCAACACTGATTCCACTAGGTTTTGGGGTTGTTCGATTGGGAGCAGCAATTGGAGGAGGCATCTTTGCATAAAAATCAAATCAATATAATTGTTCCCACCATTAGAGGTGTAGAATTCCCGAGTATTAAAATTTTAAAGTTTAAAATGAGAGTAATAAGGGGCATAATAATTGTGCAAGATTGTCATAGCAGTATTTCATATGTATGCAATAGCTTACTTGAGTAGTAGTGGGGGTTGTTCTAGATTTGATCATGCGAAGACTAAATCGACCCCCATCATTGCGGGAAAACGTTGCTGATGGGGCTATTCCGCTCGAGCTGCATACGCTGCCACTTGGTCTGGGAGAGATTCCTCGAGTTGGCCCAGAAACTGCCAAACTTTGTCGATTTAACGGTGCAACTGCGCATCCGTCTGAATCGTAGCCAATTCTTCCTCGCCGTATGCTGCCATTAAAAAGAGAAGACAAAGTTGTAGCTATTTAGTTATTCATTCATTATTATGCACATTTGCACTTTTATTTCTAAACGTACTTGAATGCTCTGTTCATTTTGGCACCATCAATGTTTTTGGTAGTGCCAAACTCTCTCACGCCGTCGTTGGAACTGTCAGACTGGTATCCAACTTGATATCCGGAATCGGACAGAACGGACGCTTCACGTGGTAACCTCATTGGACTAGAATTTGCCACAGTATTGTTTCGTGCTGCTAGAGTGGTTGGTCGTTTAAATCGGTTCATCAACTTGGGAGGGCTGTTGTGCGAAACGGTGGCTTCGTCGTCAGAATCAGAGTTATGCTGCGGACTGCCGTTTGACAAGTGACGTGTAACTCTGGCTTGCATAGCGCTTACAACAGTCTCAGTTTCTTGTAAAAGAAGTTGAGTATCCGATAAGGGGTTGAAATCTACATGAACGTAGTACATTTGTTAACACGCTTACATAATTACTTATTGGCACAAAATGATGTTAAACTGATCAACAGACCTTTGTTCTTTTTGTGAAGAATTGCAGCCTTTTCAGCCCATTCATGAATCCATTCTGGAGCTGCAGAATTTCCGTCTTCTTCGACAACAGCGGAACCACCACGAATGCCACTACTGATGTCACTCTCACTGGGCACTCCCAACATTTTTGCAATACTTTTTCTTGCCCTTTCAACTGCTGGCTCTTCCTTCTCCACCGTGTACGTACCAGTCTCACTCGAAGCATCATCCACATCTTTATCTGCGTCCTTAACTTTGGATGATGGCGAGCCACTAGTTTTCTCCACATGAGTGGTAACAGTAGTAGTATTCCTTGCCGCTTGAGCACTGCTTGGAGGCGAAATTGTGTCCATTTTTGATTGAAACTTCATCGTCTTCTTAACGGGATGAAGCAGCAATTCGCTGCTGCCTTCGACACATTTTTGGTCTGCTTGTGGTGGAGAAGACTTGGTAAGTCTTGAAAATAAACTACCACTGGATAATTTTGGCTTGTTCATTTTGCTCACGGGAGTTTCACTCTCAGGTTTCTTTGCAGCTGAACTGTCAATCTCTCGAGTTATGATTTTGTTATTATTGTCCAAGGCTGAAGTTGTTGCAACTGGGGCGATTTTGGCAGGAGGAGGAACTACTTTTCCTTTGATAAATCTTGACGAACAACACTTTGACACCACATTCTGTTTCTCAGTCAAATCAATGTCACTTTCGATGACTGATTTATTGTTATTATTGAAGAGGGATGAATTTAACGTTAATGACGATGGTTCTTTCTTTGAAGCAAGAGCAGGAGTATCCGAAGTTCTTCTGGATGCGATATCCTCCGACTTTGTCAAACTAATATTGCGTCTGTGCTTTGGTGCAAACTTGCTGATCGAGTCCGAAATTCCAAACCTTTTCGGCCCATCGTCGAAGTCAACAGTGAATGCCATGGGAGAGATCTTCTTCTTGTCACTCGCATCACTGTCCACGCTCATGTTGCTCTCGGAATTAATGCTGAGTGGTCCAGCGTCCGCTCCAACGAGAGACTGTGCACGATAATCTGTAGCAGTAGAAAAAAACAATATATTAGCCACACTCTCTGCATAATGACAATGACGACATAACAAATAACGGCAACAATTTGCTGCCTGCAGTATGTTCCCCAAATAAATGTTGTCACCCGAAAGATAAATCCGTTTATTATCTAATCGCTATATTTGTTCACTGGGCGCTTGTCATCATCTACGAGGGAAGAAATAGGTTGTGATTGAGGTCAGGATTTATCACCTTCAGATCCAACAGCTTTCTATCAACGATGATTTCCTTTATCTCCGGAAACAAGACAGTTCTCATGATTTATCACAACTATGCAAATATTTCTTGGTTGATATTTAAAGTCTCGATTCAAGATTAGCTTCAGTGAAACTACAGAGCTCTGTAAAAGGCAATTACGTCACAAAAAACGACAGCAAAAATGAAAGTTCATTAAGAAAACTGTGAAAAGCGTAGAGTGAGAAACTGGTGTGAAGATAAGGCACATGACTCGAGTCGATGACATTTATCGTTTCAAAAGACCTTCTCAATACGATGTGTCTGGTTGTGTTCAAGTTTTATGATTTTTTTTAGAAAAAAGGCTGCGGTTCGTTGCATTGTCGTTAAGAAAATTTTGGCATGAAATGAAATTGACAGATAAGTCAAAAAACACAAACCATAAAGCACAAACTATAACTGAAACCATAACCATGAAGTGAATTAATCATTCGGGCTGTGTTCACAACGCTTAAATGCAACTTATTAGTGGATGCAACCAACAAAACAATAAGCTTGAATGTTATCATGAGCTAGAACGGAAAGCAAAGAACGATAGCTGCGTGCATGAGACAAAACAACTAGAGATGTGTGATATCATTTACAGTGGACAAAGTCGAGCACAGCAAAAAAATCAAGATAATCACAGCACTGCTTCTATAATTAATAAATTGTAGCTACATAATAACTCATCATAAAAATATGCAACGTGAACACAACTCAAATTATAAAAGGCAAACACCATGAAAATTGTATTTGCTAGCGAATTATGGCTTCAACAATTATGTACGACTCTTATGACAGCTCATAAGAATGATTGTAAGTCATCTCTCTCCTTCTGTTCTGCTATCGTCTTACGCCAAGCCCCACATAACCAGCAAGGCATGACTGTTTTTACTCCTGCATTCTGTTTCTGAAGAGAACTGTAGTGGATTGGGCATTGAACCTGCTGCTGCTTTCATAACCCAAACTTACACAACCTATGAAGAACAATTTGCAACTCTTTGGGAGAATTGGAGCAGATTTACAGATATCATTAAAAGCCACATCGTTTTGGGGGGATTCATGACTAAATAATTGCTTATGCAGTTTCTACAGATGTGTACAAACATTGGGTTCCTAAATTTTACCTGACTGGCCATCATCATTGCTGGTGGAATCGTCGACAAGCTGCTTGTTGTTATCCGAGGAGGGTGAGAAGTTGTCGTCATCATCTTCCTTGGGTTGAGGCCACCAGTGAGGGGTGCCGTACAAAGGAGTGGGTGTGCTGGTGGTGGGTGCACTGATGGAATGCGATGATTCTGGTGCAGAATGTGCAGTGTCAATGCTGCTACAAAGTGATTGTGGGCGAGGAGAATTACCAGCTAAAATTTTAGCATTTAATGAAATTCAAATTTCTCCTCAGTCAGTGAATAATTTACATATGTGAGTCTTTTTTTTACACATGCAAATAGTATTCGAATGCTAAGAAATTACCTGGTTTGGAAACACTCATAGCGAGTGGCACCTCTTCTTTGGGTTCAAGTTTCTCGTCAAAAACTTCATTTGGCACATTTAAATCGTCCAAGTCACCAATCACTGCACTTTTATTACTACAGTCCTTATTTTGATGATGAAATGCAGCCTTGTTAGTGCTGATTAAACCGTCAATCTCATTTTCCAGCGAGTCCTTCCTCACGAGTGGTGACGCCAACTGTTCGCGACTATTGTTTCTGGAAGTAAGGAGCAGTCTGTTTGGTGTGGGTTCCGCAGAGGAAGACTTGGTCATTTTCCTGGAGAGGTTTGGGGAGTAAAGGTGAGAAGATCCTGGAGGAACGGGGCTCATTTCCTTGGCAGGACTGGAGGGTGCTGAACTTGACCCTCGCCCACTGTCCAGCGTGAGTGAGGGGGAAGAGACTCGACTTCCGTATAAACTATTTCCTCTCCCACCACCACCACCACTTTGCTGCAACCACACAAAACACGCACCAGAGTTATTGGAGGGCACGCAGGAATAAATAATAATAATCATCAAAACAATATTAATATTGATGTAACATGTTTTGCAGCAGCACGCTGACTGGAACAGTTTACAGAATAAGTAGTGATTTTTTTTGCTCCCTGTATGCAGACATATCTTATGCATCGTGACTTTATTTCAATTCATTCACTCACTGCGAGTAATCCAAGGCTGAAAAGCGTCACTAACTTTGGCAGGGATTATGCTGTATGTATGGCTTAAAAACTGCACGCATAGAAGTGTTATGCAAATACATTGTAATTTGTAATAAACTACGCTCATCCCAAAATTTACAACTCTCGTCATCAATCCTTCAACTATTGTATAAAACAAGGATAGATAAACCAAAGTTGAAACAAATAAAATAAATAAATAAATAACTTTATACCCTATACATAAATAACTAATAAGTTGATAATAATGATCCATGTAAAACACGAATTAAGGATAATTAACTACAAATATTATTCGCAAATATTTCCGTCACAATTTATTTGTAAACAAGTAAAGGCATCGTTACTCACAGAATTTAAAATTGCGTGGTCGTGCTATTTGAACAAAAGCTCAATTCAGCAAATCGTGGGTCTAGAAGAAGAATCTTGGGAGATCTTCTTTTGGTTAATAGCAATAATAATTGTCACTCGACTCCCTCGTGCCACACCGAAGACTAAAACGAGAAATTTATATTTAAAAGGCTGCAAACCTTTCTGACTCATTGCAATTTATTAGGACTGCCACTTGTTAGAGGAAACGTTACCTATCCCAAGTTAGCTCATGTTCGTTAGTCAGACGAGACTCTCTGGCTGTCTACGTCAACCAACCAACCACCACACCCACACATGAGAATAAACACTTGCGGTCCATTTATTCGGTCCATTTATGACCTCAGAATTTGAGCTTTTCGTAATTTACATACACCACTCAACCCCATTTGGCCTTATAAGATCAAGTATCAAGTCATGAATTTGCTTTGCAATATTTGCAATATTAAATGTCCACCATGACTAATTAATTATACATGCATAAGTTGTATGGATACATTCGTAATGAGATAAATGAACTAACCTGCATCACATGAGGAGCACCTCCCCCTCCTCCGAGCCCAATTTCGCCACCGCTGCTGCTCGGACGACTTTGTGGCGTTGTTGATGCGGGAAAGTAAGTCACGTTCTGGTCATTCTGCTGAATCTCAGGCCCTGCAGCTGCCGTTCCCAATCGGACCTCGTACACGTTGGAGTGTGTTCACCCGCAACCAAGGCGAGAGGAGAGTTAAGGAAATTATTCAATTCTGACAACCCACTTATTGTTTAGTGGAAACACTTAAAAGTAACTTGGACGAAATTGCAGTGAGCGCCAGCTTCATTTGCATAGTTATTGCACCACCATTTAGAAATCACTAACCCTCTCAACTCATGTGCAACCACTGTGCAAAATGTGACTGACCCATGATTCCATCAGTACTCTCTCTCTCTCTCAGGTGACTTTTATGAATGAGATAAGGAAAATAGTGGAATTTTAAGTCACTTGTTGTAATTTGCACCTTTTCAGAGACAACTGGCACGAGATATTCGTGAAATAAGACCTTAATACCTAGCACAACTTGTTACATCCCAGAGTGCCTTTTAATGGCAATTGGCAAGAAAAGAAACCCCTGGTATGCGAGAGGGGAGCAGTGACTACAGTGGAAGGCAACGCTGATTATTCTCTGGCTCTATTGCTTTGTTTCGCTAGCACTGCTACTATGCAAGCAGCGTGGTTGGGATCTTGATAATATGCAGCAACAGGTAAGGAGGGTAATTTTGTAAAAACGGTAATACCTACTTTAAGTAAAGGCAAGCGTCGTTGTTCAGCTTCCACTACCACCACGACCACTCTATAAGCGAGGATGATGGTGGCGATGACTAATCCTAATCCATCGCCATGAGTGCAACAACGCGTTTAAAATTTTGAGACATACAGGTGAATGAATATATTGAGCACTACGCTACTTACTAAGTACATGTACCACTGTGTATGCCTTGTACTTCCTAAAATCCCACGGTCTAAGCTATGCAGTATGTGGGGCTACAAGAGGGAACTTAATTCACCACAGGAACAAGACACTCGCCCACCACTGAAAATCACGTTACGACACCAACTTCCTCTCTTGGGCTCCAATGTGGTATTACTACTACGTATAGTATTATCAACAATCTGTTATCTCACGATAACATCACACAACTGCACGCTGCGGTGGTATGGATGCTTATCTAACTTATTGGGACTGAGTCCAAGTAGAACAGGAACGAGTTGTCTGTTTGAAATGATTTGTTGACTTTCGGTTCCTATGCTTTGCTCATTATCACTATTTAACTAATTTCGCGACAAAAAACCTGTCAACCCAGAAACAATATTGGTATTTTAACTTGACTTATTTGTAATAGCAACGAGTAACGTTATGTTGGCGTTGTATGAAAAAGGATATCAAAACCGAAGCGGAGTAGGTCCATGTTGTTCAGCGTCTCCGGACGATCTGAGGAAATCCTTCGGTTGTTGAGAAAAGTCTGAAAATAAATTGGACATGAATCAGTCAGTAGCTAAAAGCACTCCGATGTTTTGGTTTTGCTTGACTTGGATTATCTGAAATTTAGGCCACTCGACTAACTCTGCAGAAATAAATGCATAGACCAACTGCGACGAGGAACGTGAAACAACCTAGAACTCTACAACACCCGGCTCGGCATTCGTCCCATCCCCCGAAAACAACCCGGTAGCAAAATAAATAATCAACACAACAGCGTTCAAAAACACTTCAATGCACGCAGCTCAGTGCAACACATTTTATAGCTCGTGAACGTTTAGCAAAACACTCGCATTCTGGAACGCATTCAAGGCCTCATTTAATTTAAGATCAGGAACGAGTTCACATATTTGAAATGATGATGATGATGATGATAATATGGCACAGCGCGTTCCGGCTCAACTTGGCACCACTCAACCTTAATTGCGAGATTCTCAAGTTGAAGAGAGAAAAACGGGATTGATTTTAAATAAGCTGCACCGGATGGAGAGATCACACTTGATGTTATGTAAATAGCAGCCTATGGAAGAAGATATACAGCCCATGTCGCTGTCTGTATGTATGCACATGAAACAATGTTGATTGAATTCAATGAGTCAATTCTAAACAAACCGTACTTTCAAATTGAAAACAAGGTTTATTTATTGGAACTGTTCATGTTTATTTAACCCACAGGTTTTATTTTACACATAATACACGCATACGAACATGTAACGGCAAACTGTTAAATTGAACTGCTGATTGAGGTATTGAGTAACTTCAGAGGTTTAGCTAAGTAGATGAACAAAATGGTGCAAAAAGGAACATGAATCTGTTACAAAATTAAACGGAAGTCGTCGTCGTCGTGTTCACCATGAACGAATGACAGACGCAACCCAGACACATCTTCCGTGATCATTTATAACATGTCACATATTTTAAGCGCATGTACCTAAGCTGCGTGTATTAGGATTCTGACTGTGTTTATGTTGCATGGAAAAGTTGCGATAAGTTTGCTAAAATTCAGCTAAGTTTTTGGAGCAGTTGAAGGTAAATGCATATGTCTGCATGCCTATACAAGAATAAGTAATTTATAAGATGACAGCTAAGGAAACTTACCCCGTTGGTGGTGTTCAGATCTTTGAGGGAGAAGGAGTCCGCGTTGGGGTCAAAGCAGAGGACGGCATGACGCTTGTCCACACTCGGTGACTGAAATAAGACAGAAGGGGAACACATAAGTAAATTACTGCACGTCCTGATTAACAATGACAACTGCAGCCACATTTTTTTGACACACTGACAATGGTTCGAGACGATTTCGTGTCACCGTCGCCGCCTCCGTCGGAATCATCGACACAGGTTTCGAGCTCATCTCCTCGCTTGCTCAGAAGGCCTTCGAGACGTTTCCTCCTCTCAGCCACAATATTTTTGGGAATCACGGAGACTTCTTCCGTGACGAGCTGATCCCCATCATCGTAGAGAAACTTGGCCCAATCCACATCCCCATCTTCCACACCACTCTTACTCCCAGCACGTCGTGTCCGAACCATTTCTTAAGCACTCCTCTCACTTAATATCTCTTCTAATTATCTCCAGTTTGCAAGGAACAAGTTTTGACTTTAAAATTCTTGAGATTATGGGAACCAAATTACTTCTGTATTTAAACGAAGCACTAAAAGGAGCAGCTGCACTGTAAATGACTTGAACTCGACCCTTTCTTATTTTTTGGCATAATAAGTATGTATGTATACGTAGTGTGAATTGATGTGATGTGCACGTAATGTGTGCTTCTGTAGCTCACCATCCAACGCGAGAGTATAATTTAAACGACTCGATGGTTTGACGAACGAGTTGGCAATTTGGTTTTACGACTTCAAAGACATTAAATCCTCCACCACATTGACATTCACACAATAATCGTGCATTGTCCTATCCCGCAAGTAATTACAATTGCGGATCGATGCAATTCGACACAGCAGCAGCAGCAGCAGTCAGAAAGGGTTGATGATAATAATGATGATGCTCAGCAGGGGCATCACATTCGGAACCATTTACTTGGATGGGTTCAAGTGATCTAATTGCTCTCTTCAGATTTTTGACAGGCAACAAAAAATCCACCGAGATTTACAGTCAGCAATTTGAATTCCTTAAACGCCTACCCCTTTCAGCTCTTTCTCTCCACAACCACCACCACCACCACTCAGCAGAATTCCAACAAAACCATTTCGAACCGAAACGTGTAAGGTATTCTAAAAAGGCGTCCAACTGTGGTTTTGCAGAGTTTTAATTAATGCCGATCTGCTCGGTCGGATCTTCTGTTCGAATCGAGCCCTTTGGATGGATGGGGAAGATAGATGCTCCTGCAAACCCGCAGAACGTCACAAAGTGCAAAATGACCTCCTCCTCCTTGAATACCTTATTGCGCACGGTCCAAAGCCACTAATGAGACTAAATAACCATCAGCATGGATCATCAGATACGCTCAACTCATCAAGTCACCCTCCTCCTTCTGACAACATGCACGTAAATGGCATGGCAAAATTATAGAACAAATTAGACATGAAACAAGGTTCTTCCTTCGCTCGTTCTTCAATAACAAAGCCCACACACACACGACACACACCTTGCTGCACAACTCCTCACAGTCTTTCGCTTCATCTAACCAAAATTAACTGACCCCTCCGATTAAGTTTGCATTGTTGTTGTGAAGCCATTCGATGACTTGCTGAGCTTGATATGCACATGTCAATCAAATCTCCGTTAATTATTTCATTTCATGACGGCAATAATAAATAATTCATAACGGTTGTCCAATATTTCGAAATGATTTACTTTGACAGATAAAGAACATTAGCATTTTTCAAATGAGTATCATGAAATAATGGATCACAGTCCAGGTGAACATGACAAACGTTAGGTTAGCCTTCATTTTCTACCCACCCAAAAATAATTGGGAGAAGTAGAAACAAAGATTATTCCTATGCATATGTACACTACTTGCTACAATCTCGTTTGGTGGATCCATTTCTCATTCGGGAAGCAGAATGGAAATGCACGGCCAAATATTTGGTCATGTTTTGCTATATGTGTCCACAACGTGACCAATACAACAAAGTTGTTCTAATAAATCGTAGGAGTTTTGTGACGGTCATGCACATTAAGAGTTGATGGCAATAATGATACGATACGACTCGTATTAAACACAACATCCATTACTCCATTTGCCAATTCTCCTTGCTAAAATATTCGCAAATCCATTGAAACAACAGGGATAACATTTGTCTCATGCTGCTCCTGTCTGTTGTAATCAGCCTCAGTCATGCAGAGGATAATAAAGTAAGTTCAGGAGGAGTGACATTTTATCCACAGAGAGGAACTGTCAAGTCAGCAAAGTTAGGAGCAGACTGACACGAGGAAAAATATAACCAACTGTGTAACATTGTCCCCTTGGATTAATGGATATTAAACGAGAAGGATGCGAAATTATTCATGCTCCAAAGATACTTGTGGAGTTTGCAGAAATTAAACGACTTTTTCTCTGTATTCATTCAGTTTGACTTTAGCTTTGAAAGAAAAAAACGTCGAGTTCTTTGTTGGATAAAAACTGCGAGACAAAATGCCATAAATCCTCCTCACCCGCATTTCAGTGTTAATACCCATGCACAAAAAATCTATAAATAAAGCAAGTGATGCAACTTGATGAGTCAGGCTCGACGAAGACTAGTTCATTTCGTCATTATTCAAACGAAAGGGAAAATTTGTACGTTGTTGTTTGCGTCAGGTTGACAATTTTTAAATTATAGGCTCCTAAGTCTCATATTTATAATTGTATATGATGGAAAAGTATGCATACACATTCATCACTGGCCTACTATACTGGCTGGAGGGAGAGATAATCTGTCAGATTTATAGAGTTCTCTTTTAATAATAAATGAGATTTATTCAGGCCAAGGACATTTACATACTCGACTGCATGTGTAGATCGCGATCGCACATTTCTCATTTCAATCACGATGACGGGTGAGTTAAGTAAGATATCAATAAAATATATCTTCCAAATCAATATAATGCTCCATTTGTTATCCTTTAATTTAGGATGAGGAACAATAAATCTACCTGACGTGTCAAGAAAGATACTAAAACTCGTGTCAATGGGAAATTAAATCTGGATAATTCATTCGATTCTGCTGGATACTTTCCTCAATCTAGTGAAGCATATAAAAAACGGACAATTTATAATCATTGGTCTAAAAACTTGACCTTGACCGCTGTCAATGTGTACTTTCTTCTTGTAGATAATAAAACCTCCGTATACAAACACAGATCTGGGAGAACAAAGTCGTTACGCACGCAGTAAATAAGACAATGATGAATCAATAGTGTCCATTGTAACAGCGAGCATTTAGGCATTGTTGAGCCTTTTTGTCGTGATTGAGATACTGGATGGATCTCTTCTGCGGCCAAATATGGAAATAGGGAAATAACAAAATAACATCGGTGGAAGAGTTACATGATGTTGCATTTTACACAACTTTATGATCGTAGTACATAATATGCAAGTAACATAATCCCATCATGACAGTGATGATAAGAATCGCCAAAGGGAGCCAATTATTGAGCACCAAATCACACTTCATCCCTGACCTTGCTTTTAATGAATGAATACTTTTATTGAAAATAGTCCTCTTTCGCACGGCTTGCCTCACTAGTTGAAATATCCACGCGTCTAGAATACTTAATGCTCAAATCGTTTTGTACATACGCCAAAATTACTTAAATGCTAATAATGGGTGTGTTAAGGCATCGTATTTCTATTCATGTATTGGCATCTCTGTGCACTCAGACAAGTTCCGAATGCGAAATACACATGATCAAAATCTTTTGATTGTCTTTTGATTTGACAATCAATTTAGTTGGACATATTTGATTGCTGAGCATGCTTAAAATTATATGTACGAGTTTTCACCTGAATGTTGATGTCACATGATTCGCTTCCAACGATGATGAGACAGTTCGGATTGAGCCTGAAGGCAATTTTTCCAGTTCTTTGGACCAGAAACCATTCCCCGGACCCTGGAATAGCCTGCCATCGACCATTCTGATTGTGTGCCTGTTGACCACGGACATTGGAACCCTTCATTATATGCCGTTGGCCAAGAAGAGATCGTTCTTGTGCAATGTGTGGAGTTGTAGTTTCTCAATACTTCCACAGTACAGCATTTGGACGGCCCGTTTTTCGGTCCTGTGAAATTAAAATTGTCTGGAATAAAACTTGTGGTTGCAAATATTCCTATTTTCATAGTTTTCATTTCATGCTGAAAAGAGTTTATATTTGTCTTGATTTCATGAAAGATTGGACTGTCGGAGAAGAAGTTGGCTTCCTATTAGTCTGATGGAAAATAAGGCTGGGAAAATTGTCATGTGCGTTCCACTAACTAAACGGTGATCAAATAATTGGAAAATAGCCCACGCAAACAATACGGGGACGATGAGGTGCCGTGACAAGACCCAATTTGAAATGCCGTGATTTGTTCAGAGTTAAGAAGATGGACAGACAACAGAGAAAGCACAAATTGCTCCCAGTTCATCCCAACCAACACTGTGACAACTTTCTCCTCACCTGTGCAACCACCACCAATATGCACAACTGACTCACAATTATGGATGAACGGATGGAAAAACAATTTGGAAGGACGTATCAGCCGATTTAGAGTAATTTGTACCAGGTACAAAGAAGACGCTCAATTTGCCGTTTCTATCAACTTCAACCCCATGACTGGTAGTAGTTAATACTTCATGGAGCCTAATTTCCCATCACGCCATCATCAACGCCAATGCACAGTGACAATTCTTGAATGATGACCACTGAAAATGGTCAAGAGTTTATAAATACATCCTGCCCTTCCTTCACATTTGCTACTTTTGCTTGTATCGTCACCGAGTCATGTTCAAGTCTTCCTCCGCCATGGCCCAACAACCCCAACCCCCCATCAAGCCCACTCGGTTCCGCTTCCCTTTCAAACAAAAGACGCCACTGCTCCCCCCTCCCACGTCCTCATCAGGATCGCCCTCAAGGATCAGCAGCTCGGCTGGAAGCCCACCCAATTCAGGGTCAGGCATATTCAACTTGGGAAGGAAACTCGGGTTCAAACCAACCACACCCACACTCAGGTAATTATGAGAACATGGCCCACCACTGTATTTTACACGTAACGAGAGCTGTCATGATACTGATAGCAATGCTTAGCTTAATACTTAAGATTTAGAGATGCTTTATAAATAATAATACATAATGGAGTTTAATACTCACCTTTGCAGCGATTTAAAATAAATTTTGATTATGTGTAACTGATATCATCTTTCTGTTTCTTCTTACTTTCTCGTCAGTGGATTTGTATATCGTTATATGGTTGAAATTTGATCATTCTGAAATTTTAAATGGTGGAACGGTGAACGGTGAACGGTGAAGGGCTCCTTTTCTTCATTACAAATTACACAATAGTCTCCAAAAAGAAGAAACTTAAAACTAGTTAACTAAATTACTTATTGTTAGTAATCTAGGATGTTAATTTTGGCACGTATTCAGACTTCAACTTTATTTTCTTAAATTTTCCCATTCGGAATCACAAATAGTAGTAAAAGTTGTATGTTGTCAAACAGTGAACAGAAACAACTTTCGAGTCAACTAATTAAATTTAAGCTTATACGAAATCAGTTCTCAATTCAATCAAAACTAAATAAACTAATCCTCTCGTCCCACGTTAGTTCCAGAAAACGCTTGAAGTAATTATAATTCATGTTAAGATTTATAAACCATGTTAAATTTCTAACACTAAAAAATGAAAGGCGAATCAGTCGAAGGTCTTATAATTATTTATTGACAATTCAGAACTAGTGCACTACCACCACCTGCATAGTCTTCCACTACAGAAAAATTCTCTCATGGCCCCAAAATCGTCGCCGCTAAGACGTTCAAAAGTATTAAAATAAACAAACTCATGAAAATCAGTATTCAACAGATCCAGATAAAATCAATCAAAACTCTGAGTCACCTAAATTACCTCCATTTTTTTGCATTTCAAATCTGATAAGCATCGCAGAGCAGAGCGGTCTTTGTGTATAGTTGAGCTTTCGAAGTCCCATAAAATGTGTACTAGAATTTAACTGGATTGACATGTTCGCAGGAAATCAGTGTCATTTTCATCAGGAAGGTCTTCACCAAGCAAAGATAACAACATGGACTGGAAAAAGAAGATTTCTGCGGATCATACAGATGTGGCTTATCGTGAAGCGGTTGGGAGATTGAGAGCTATTCTCAGTCCTAGACCAACTATTAAAAGTGTCACTGGGTCGCCCATTAAGGTAAATTTCCATCTATAAATCTATAAGTCAAGTTAACCTGTATTCAAGCGTTAATGGATATCTGTCTATACCACAAGCTATTGTTGTAAAATTACGTGGATTGAATATTGCATAATTTGGACGTTGTATAATTGCAGGACTTGACATCACCATCAAAACCGTCTCATCCTTCACCAATTTTTACGCCCGAGAAGAAAGAGGGAACGATATCGTCAAGCCTTCGGTCCATGTTCACGAAAGATGCCAACGCTAATAATCAAGTCAATCTCAACAACCAGCAGCAAACTTCTGTAGTGCCGCCTGGTTTTGTGGGAAGTTTGCCAAATCGGACCCTTCCATATCCGCACGGCTATGCTCCCTTCTACGCCAGTGACCCGGCTAACCTTCAGAGAGAAGACGATTTATTCGGATTTATTGAAAAGCAGTCCGAGTATATTGCACAGCTAGAAAAAGAAACCAAATATAGCAGGAACGAGCTAGCCACAATGTTGGACAAGGTCAAAGATGTCATTGCTGAAAATGAAGAGTTGCATCAAAAACAAAAGACGGACTTGTTGACAAATATGATTCAGCACTTGAACGAAAAAACCGATGGCTATGGCTCCGCTTTGGCAGAAATGAAGCAGTCCAAGGTATTTGGGTGATGTGTTGCTATTTCCTGTTGTTTGGAATTGTACAAAATTATGTGAAATTTCTAATTCATTTAGATAAAATCCAACGGTGGGAGTAGTAATGTCATCATAGAGTCAAAGATAACGGAACTTGAAGCCCAACTGAGTCAAGCGAGAAGAAATCTTCGGCTTGCACAAGAAGAGATTTTGGATATGCGAAAGGGAAATATTGGAGGGACAAGTGGCAGTTCAACCATGAATGGCAATAAGGAAGTCTCTCCAGCTGGCCTGAGTAACAATTTGTACGCAAATTGTGACCTTCACCGTACAGAAATCGATACATTAGTTCGGTATAATTATATATATACATATATTAATATAATATGATGTCCCTGTATTTAAAGTCACCTACCTTGTTTTCATGTAGAGAAAAGTCGGACTTACTGGATACCATGCAAAAGATGAAGCAAATGGTGGGTGACCTTCGAGACAGAGAATCTGACGCAGCTAAAAAAGTCAAGAACAGCTTAGAAATCGTGGAACAAATGCAAGTGGAAAAAGCACAGGTTAGATTTCATCATTATGCAATAGATAACTTGTTAATATTCAAATTCAAAATTGGTTGTTGTGGTGTGGTAGAGCGATATGGAGACCCGGAGGTTGAAGGAAGAGCTGGACAGGCATCAACAGCGCATTCGTGACATGATTCAGGACCATTCACGACGGTTGCATGATGAAAAACTGCAAGTTGAAAAGAAATACAAACAGGAACTTGATCAACTGAACAACGAAATGAATATTGAGCTCGATTGCTTGACAAAGGCTCGATTGGATTTGGAACGACAGAAAAGACTCGAAACTGATCTTCGAAGAGAATTGCAACAAAAAATGTGCACTATTGAAGACATTCGTCAGGAAATGCAGATCAAAATAAGTTCGTCTAATTGGCAATAAGTTATGTATAATCAAAATAGTTCAATTTATATATGTTTATTCGACAATTTGATTGTATAGGCCATATGCAAGCAGAGTTGGGCAACAGCATTACCCAGAAAAGCACGATTGAACAAGAACTCATCAACATTCGCCTCAATGCTGAAAAGGCAGACAGGGATAGTCGTCAAGACGCTGCACGCCTTCAGGTGGGTATTCGTTATTATGTATAGTTGTATTTCTTATTATTGTCAACCTGCCAATATTATTATTCTTATTGTTTTTTTGTAGGCTGAAATTAACGGGTTAAGAAAACGATTGGAGCAGTCGGACATGGAATTGGTCAAAAGTCAGGAGCTCATAATGAAATTGAATGAAACCATTTCACACCTACAGCGTGAGAACTCTCTGGCAAAAATACGGTTGGAAAGCCACATTGCTGAAAATCCCGAATTGGCAGATGCGGATGTTGTCACAATTATCCAGAATATGGAAGACAAGCATAGTAATTTAGCCTGTGCATTTAAACAAACTGTACAAAAGTTTCGTATTTTTTGTATAATTTACAATTAATACAGATCGAGACATGCAAGATTTGGAGCAGCTAATCCAGCAACAAAACGGGTTATTGGACAAATTGAGAGGAGAGTGCAAAACACTAACTGATAAACTCGAAGAGACTGGTCGACAGTACAAGTAAGTGCCCGTATATTAACCATACAGTGGAATTTACAGTTAAATACTTTGTAATTCAATTCGGTTTGAGTCTCGAAGTTGTGGAAGTTTTTATTGAACTAATCCAAGCATAACTTATCTATGTTCCGTGTGTATGTATTAGAAAAGAGCGAGCTATTCTGGAAGCAGAACGAGACAAGTTTGCTCAAGTTGGTAAAGGTGCACAAGAAAAATGTGTTGAGTTAGAGCAGAGGGTGCACTTTTATTCCAGCAGTCACGAACAAATGACCACTCGTCTTCAGAAATTGGAAGATGACGACAAATCTCGCTCAGCCCGGGTGGGTACAAGTTTATTTTTAATCTGTTGACCTATTCATTTCTCGTAGGGATGAGCTGATGAGCGGGCTGCAGAGTTGCGTGACCTCAATTCAATCCAGTCTTCCGCTGCGACAAAGCGACGACAAAGAAAATAATAAGATTCCAACAAACGGCGAGGGAGAATTATCCGACGCTCAAAGATTTGCAGTTGAACAACTAGGTTCATTGTTGCAAGAAATGATGGAGTGGGTCGACGAAACTACGTCAACAGAAATAACAACTGATCAAATTGGCAAGGAAGAATATGAGGGAGACGAAAAACCAGTCCCAGATGAAAAGGAGGAGAAGGATTTGCCTGAGAAAGATACTGATGAAAAAGACGCTGATGAGAAGGAGGAAAAACAAGGTGATGACGAAAAGGATGTGACTGACAAAGAGACAGAAGAGAAAATCTCTTCAGAGGAAGCAGACATTGACAGCGACGTGGTCAAGAGAACTAGTCCTGAAGAGTTCAAATCCAAAATTGAACAGGTGAACAGGAAATTGTTGGATTGGACGAGTCGGATCGAGTCCATTATTGAAAGGTGCGGAGCTCTGCAGCCCGTTCTCCCTCAGTTTGCATGATAGCCTGCTGGAGTCAAAATGCGAATTAGTAAATAGTGTAGTGCCATTGTATATGTAAAGTTGCATTTCCATTTGATAAGAAAAATGGTGCATGGCCATTGCGTTTGATGCTCAAATGTTGTAATTATTAGATGCACATCAGTCCAGTCGTTGTTTAATTTGGGTTTTGTGGTAACTTTGCAGATTTTCCAGCTTCTCACAAAACAGAGCGGACTATTGAGAGAGAATCAAAATCTTCAAAACGAGATGGCCGCCTTGAAGAGCAGATTGTCGGATCACAACAACTCGAGTGGAGCTAGTAACAGGAGCGTTATGTAGCTCAAGCCACTATATGCATGCCTACACAAATAATTTCAACAATGATGCTGTCCATATTTATGATCTCAATTTAATTATGAAATTGTATACGTCCAACCAACTGGTCCACTCTGGTAAACAGTTCTTACAATGTATCTACAATGTAGTGGAAAAGACGTTTACATTTATTTAGTCACATTTCTAGTCATTTATTCTCTTAATTTTATGCATTTTATTGTCGTCCTTAAGTTTTTCTTGTAGTTGTCTTATACGACGTAATTGTATAATGCTTATAACATGTCCATTGTTCCAACAGTTTGTTCAGCTATTTCAGATGATGAAATAAATTTCCTTGAAAACGAACACAAAATTTTTGCGCGGTTACTTGACATTTGTATCTATGTAACGCTTCTCCCTAATGGATATCTTCTCCCCAATTCCCTAATGCACCTTCAATCTGCTGTTTTAATAAGTATTCCATATTCCTAAAAAAATAGTTTGCTTGAAACGATCCCGACCTGATTGCATGTATATCATTCTTGTTCTTGTTTATCATCATGGTCAAAAAGCGTGGGCAAGGAACCTCGAAATTATCCACAGTTCCGGATAACTTTGAGAAGGTGGCCAAGTCCGTCCCCAAAGCTTCCCGAGTCTCGAAAGACGCCGCTTCCCAGGGGTCTAAGAAGAAGCCCAAGAAAACCAAACACCTCGTCTCGGAACTGACCCAGTCCACCATCTCGGATGACCTCCTCAGCCCTGAGTTGGACGACGCTGCAACGCACGGGATGACGGCGTCAGAGAAGTTTGGGCTGCCCGAGTGGCAATCCCCCTGCAGCTACTTCTTCCAACAACAAGGGAGCATGGACTTCCAGAGCTACCTCAGACTCAAGTATGCTCATGGATGCACAGACTTATGTCATGCAATTCATAATCATGGATTTGCATGTAAATGATATCTTCTTTTTGATCCCCAGACGGGAGGAGAAGTATTCAGGAGTGCAGTACGCTGCAGCTCGGAAAATCCAGGCGCTGTGGAGAGGATTCATCACTCGGTTTAAGATGAAAATCTTACATTTGGCAGCTCAAAAGATTCAGGTCTGATCTTTTGGATGGCTTGGCCCATCCAATTCATTTCTTTTCTCTCCTCTCGCCTGGGTTTTGACTCCTATTGACAGTTCTGATGAGTTACAACTCATGCATTTTAATTAATTAGGCTTTTATCCGAGGTTTCCTGGCGAGGAGGCGCGTTGGCAAGATCTTGAAGGTGAGAGCAAAGCAATGCAATTATCATGCAATATATGTATGTACAAGACTTTTTGGTAGTAAGATTTCCAAAATGAATGCGTTTGTATTGTGGTTGGTGATGCGAGTTCCCATATTTGGCACTGAATGCAGTACGTCATTTCTCACCATCGTCGGCTTTCTTGTTTCATCCCCAATTGCCTTCATACTTTACACAATTTCTATTTAAATTTGACATTGACGAGCAATTTGGAAGTTTTGAATCTAAATCATGTGTCTGTGTGGTTTAGGAAAAGGCGGAAATTCTTTACCAAAAGCAGCTCAACGAGGCAGCGACAAAGGTAAGAAGACGTCGAGGAGGAGAAAAAGAAGAAGAAACGGAATGCATGCATAATTAAATGAAGGATCGTTATTTGTGATTTGTGTGTTGAGCACTATCCGAAGTGAACTCTGCAAATGTGGCTTTGGCTGAATTTGCCTCCTTGATTTTCCAGATTCAGGCAGGATGGCGAGGCTTCCATTCACGGCAAACCAAGCTCGACTTTGCCGAGTATAAAAAGATCCAGGAAAAAAATAAGGCTTTGAAGAAATCTATTGAGGTTCGTTAGGCAAATTAAATTAAATGACAAGCGACGCACAGCCCCTTCATCTCCGTCTGCTCCTTAAAAATGAATGCCGAATCAGTTATGAAGATCTAACTGGGTGGAATGTGGATGTATTTTGATGATGAATGATGGGGAAAGCTCTGCTTGTGTATGTGTTCTGCTACTTAATAAGCATTGCTCCAGCCAGAGATGGGAGAGAGAGTGAGATTGTTTGAGGCAGGATGAGATGACTTTCTCCTTTCCGCAGCCCATGCATGCATAATCACGCCGTATTCATTTCTCATTCTCGAAAAAGCTTGTCTCTTTTCAGAAAATAAACAAGTTGGAGAGTGCACTGGTGCAGAATAATGCTGCCAAGAAGTCGGACCCGTCTCCCGAAACTTCCTCCTCCTCGTCCGCCCTGGACATGGCAGCAGCTGCGGCTGAGGAGGAAGACCAGGGTCAACAAGACCCTGCGAAAAAGTCCGTGGCGAAACCACCGGCTGATGCGGTTCACAAGACCAGCACAGCCCTCCAAGAGGTGGAAGATCTCCTGAGAGACAGCTTCCCTGACCTCGCCAACAGCATGTCCGACTCGAGAGTGGCTGAGCTCTACGCGTATGCGACGTCAACAATGGAAGATAGTCGTCGTCGGTCCTCCTACGACTCCCCCACGGCGAAAGCGAGGCGAGGATGGGATGGAAAAGACATTCCACCAAAACGCACGTCTCAGAAGAAACTGCTCCTTCTTGAGAAGCCAAGGACGGGAGACTCGGTGGACGACCTCTTTCCAGATCTCCCGTCAAAGGACGGACTGGTCAAACCAGACCCTGTCAAAGGTAAGGCCCAGAATAATGCTGCCAAGTGTTTCCACTAGTCTCAACTTGCCCCCTTTTCAGCTTGTACTCATTTTTATACATCCAACGTGATGTTTACTAATTTATCGAAATCCAAATATTTTCAGTGGAATCCTTGAAACATGCAATTCGACTCCTTCGGCAAAGGATTCAAACGCGAGAGGTCAGCGAGTTGCAGAAGCTCCACTATTTGCTTCGGACGACAGTTCAGCCCGGCGTGCACTCTGACATTTACTGCAAGTGAGTCCACATTTCTTTTCGTCACATGCAACCAGCGATGATGATAACATTTTAAGTTCGAGTCAAATTGAGCGTTAACTTCACACAAGCTTGTCTCCGTTTTGGAAAGTGAGCAATTTGGAGCAGAATCATCTCAGTCAGGGCTCGTCAAGAAAGATGACTTTATATTCATGCACATTTGTTTATTTATTATGCTCCACGCGCGAGCTTCTCAATTGACAAAACTCCTTTTTAATTAACTTCTGGATGAAGCCTCTCCTTGTCCATGCGGAGGAAGGCGACTGTGTGAATGTCAATGTAACACATTTAATTGAAACTTGATTACGGACACCCACACAGCCATGTAAATACGTACGTCCGTACGATGTATGGAGCATATGCATCGTGCTTCTGTGCGACTGGAATATGTGGAGATTGGAGACGAGATGTTATAATTGGACAGAGCGCAACTTGACGTATTTTTCTAGTGTTTGAGTTGTCCACATTTATTTAATCTTTATCGCCTTGATGGATAATTTAGTTAACGAGCGTTTATTACCAACATCAACATCCAATAAGTCTTTTCCCTCTTTATTTACGTTGGCACTTAGCACGGAAGTTCATGAACTCTCTCTCGCACTCTTCATCTTATCTAACGTGATGTTATCCGTGTAGCAAAAGACTGCATAGTTAAGCGAAAAGTCCCTCCAAATTCACACTTTAAAATATTTAGTGCTTGTGTGTCACTTGCTGGGGTACAACTATGTATGAATGCTGGATGAGAAGGAGAGTATTCACTAGTCTGTAAACACAAAAGTGCTGTGAGACGCTCCGTCATCTCTGGAAAGGAAAAGTTTAATGAAGCAATCCAATTTTTGTAGACATTGATACGACAGACATGAAAAATTGGCTAATTTTGCTCCTGGAATAAAATGCTTCACTTTCAGTCTACACCTCTCTTAACAGTTTAAGCGATCTAATCAAAATGCCTTTTGTGTGTTCACACCTTTCTTGCAGTGAGTTGACCGAGTTTGAGAAGCAGCTCAAGTCCGTCAAGTACTGGACCGCCCCTCCGGATCCTAGACTAAAGAAAAAGGGAAATGGATCCTTGGAGCAGAAGGGGCAAGATTTTGTCTCACTTTATAGCGAGGAAAACGAGACTCCGAGGATTCCAAAGTCGTCCACTGGAGGAAGGAGCACCACGGATGACGAAGGGGCCGTGTCGTCCACCGCCTTCGAAACGGACACAACTGTGACGACGGGCTTCGAAGCGACCGACGACTATGACGTGTACCAAAACCAGATTCGTGCTGCTTAGAAGAGCCTGTCACATCCATCTTCATCTTATCTTTCCTTCGGTCCGGCAATGTTTGTGTGCAAAGTAAAAGTCTCACAATAAAACGTGTTATTGATTGACCAGGATTGCCTTTCTAAGTACATACGCTCCGGACACGGCAAACTTTTGAACCAATATTCTCTGCTTAAACAAGGAAAGTATTCTAGACGCATTTGTACACAACTAGATTAGCATTTCACCATTGGAACCAATTTTGCTTTCCTCTTTCTCCCCGAAAGACTACTACGTATACCAGAGAGGCACCACACACAGGTGGGCAGACAGAGTTTACGTAACAAGACACATAGATATGTACATTTTGTCCCCAAAATGCCGTGCTGAAAGTTCAAATTAAATAAATAAAACAAGTCTGTTGTGTAAAATATATTTATTGCAAAAGTTTATCCTCCTTCTTGCCGTGTGGAGCATTATTCAATCCATTTAACTGTTCAACTGTTCAGGTCCAGGTGAGCATAACTATGTGAATTCCTCCCATGTTTCACTAAATCATTATGAGGACGAGCTTCTGTGAGGCAGAAGTGCGTTATGGGAGGAAATATCACACAATGAGACGACTTTTTTCTTGTCAAAAACAGCTTTATTCCAATGACTTTTAAAATCATAATAGTTTTCTTTCACTCAAAATGTACTGAATTATTTAATTACTTATCAACGTTGTTTGTGTGTGTGTTCGTATATAAATTAGGGTGTAGAATACGATAACGGTATTGTAATAGTTACTGCTTACGTACGTACATACATTAAATAACACGTTTAATACTATTCCATTACAAGATCACATTTCGAACACAAGTTGCAACTTTTCTACTGCATTTTTCTGCCTCTCTACGACGTAATGCATAAAACATACCAGCATCAAGAACCTAAATAAACGACGTGGATGCCATTGAGGCACAAAGAAATAAGTTGCATTGCAATCTCCTTCGTCACTAGTACGAATAGCACTGAAAGGGAAAATCATATCGAGACGAGGTAATTCCTTAACTAAAAATCTCATTGATTTTTCGACAGAATTTACAAGTTATCCCCAAAGTTCCTGAGTAAATTAGCAAAAGAAAACATAACTAAGAGTGTTTGGAGACATTTTTGGGTAGGGCTACAGGCTACGTGGCCATGTTAACTGAGGATGAGCCGAGGAGAAGAGGTAGTTTGGTGGCGTAAGAGAATATTAGTTTGTACAAAATGTTAGACACATAGCTTGCATTTGTTGGTACACGTCCACTCGTTCGCATCATCATACTTACACAACAATGACAATAGTAATAGCAATACATAATACATAATAACAGTTATAATAACGTGGTTTCGGATTCCTTACTCCGCTAAAGTTAGATTAGATTATGTCGATGATTATGAGATCGCAGTTCACTCTCCTTCATAATATTTTTATCCATAAATACACAAGTAGAAACAAAAAATCACATCAATCTTACAGCAACACCATCCATCTCGCCTCTCTTCTCGCCAAGGGAGAAACCTCTGTGACGAAGATTTTCCCCCACCAAACCTAATAATCATTAGTTACTTGCTTATTTACACAAACTGACATCAAATACGTGTCATGTCGAACTAATTTATCGTATTATTAACAACTCTTCTTATCCCCTAAATATTTTACATAATTTGCAATGCATCTTAAATCTGTAGTCGTATAATAATCCTACATATATATGCATTTATCTATTAATTATCGTATCGCTCAGAAAAAATAAAACTTTTGCATCTTATGAATACCCAACTTCCAAATGCATATTGAAATGACATGTTACTCACACTGAAGAATGATGAGAGTGATCCGATCGACTATGATTACATCGAAAATAGCGTATACCCAATGCATGATACACTTTGTTCGAGTTTAGCTGAGAGCGAAACCATTTCTTCTTCTGACCATGACTTGCAAGGAATAATATTCATTTATTTAGCCCCGTGTGCAGCACTTTGCATGTCCTACATGAGCACACTTGTTTCGTCGTGGATGTTTTAAAATCATGTTATCCTCCTTCCTTCACGACTCTTCATGATTTTTTTATGTGGACCTTCGTTTGGGTTTATTGCAAACAAAACTCTATTTGTGAAGCACCATCAACTTTTTTTTAAACACGCAGAGAAGGTTTCCATCCATCCATCCATCCATCGAGAGACGGTAACTTACATGAGAAATAAAATGGAAAGGTCTGAGGGTTCAGAGGATGTAAGTTTTGATTGGATTGGATGGACCCCACAGGTCGAATGGATGTTTGGATAATTGTTTAGTTGTAAACATCATTCCTCTGTTATTACGTGCACCTTCTGTGTGCGTCGTGAGTTGGGCACTGACTGCAGGGCGAGGACTTGTGTACATTAAAGCCATTGTTTGATTTACACTTATTACATAACAATTTGGTTGAACCCTAAAAAGTAGTGTATACTTTATGATTATGATTAGTATTATTGGTGTAGTAGAAAATATTTAAATCTGCAGTAGCTTGTTTGGTTCGACTTGTGAATATTTACATGGATTTTTTATGAGACGAGATATGAGGACCGATGTGGGATATATTTCACGTCAATAAAATAGAAGAGTAATGATCCTATCGTATATGCACACTTTGACTACGCCGGGTAGAATTTGCAGGGAAATATAGCTACATATTTATGTATTTGTATAGCTCACCAATCAGAATGGCGGAAAACTAATGGTGGAGATTTGGGCCGAGGAGTTAAAGGTTGAGGTACACTTTTGATGATGATGATATAAATATCTGCAATCTGTAGACTGCACAAAACTCTAGAACCATTGAAAGATCAGTGTCGCCACTTGGAACAGGAGAGGAGAAGATCAGACTTTATCACTGTTGTTGCCACCCCCGGCGGAGGAGGAGGAGGAGGACGAGGAAGGGTTGAAGAGGGGCTTCTGCTCAGAGAGCTGGGCGCAGGAGGAGTACTTGTTGTAGTCGCACTTGTAGCAGCAGTCGGGGGTCACGGGTGGGGTGTCCTGCGACGAGTTTGACGAGTGGAAGGAGGGGGGTGCCTTCTTGATCTTTATTAGTCTGGAGGACGAGCAAGCTCGGCGGCAGACGCATTGACGGAAGAGAACGACGCCCAGGACCAGGCTCAGTCCCAGCACCATCCCGATCAGCACGGCACAGTATGGCTCCATCCCCCGCGAATGCAGCTCAGGGGACGTCCCCTCCTCAGATGACAGCCTTCGAAGGTCATCTGCAACACAGAGGGCTACACATTTAGTAGGAATTTCACATATATTACAGCTACACATGTATGTATTGCATAACTCATTCATACTGCTTACTCTGCCTCAAGTGCAACAACACCTACGTATTTGCATCAAATTAATATGCGCACTCTACACATTTCCTTTTGCGAAGAAAGTAGAGCGTGATCGAGGGATTTGTGAATACATAATGTTGAAAGATTCTCCGCTGATTTCCACAATTTTCAAGTCAGACTTTCTCTTGCGTCCCATTCACTGCCTGCGCTGGATACTACGAGTCGGATCAGAGCTAGTCTCGAGTGAAAAGGAAGTGAAATGTGGGCTCTTATTCCTTCCATGTCAGGGTAGGTGTTTTGTCCGGACGGTCATATGTCGAACACACCCGGTCCTCATAAATGAGTAACATGAATACAGAGAGAAAGCAGCGAGTGGGCCATTCCATTGAAGTTGACACACGACGAGTGCACGAGGACGAGTGAATTGAATATTATTTATACCAAGGGAAGCAGAGAGACGTGCTCTTTCCCTCTTGATCTCTTCTCAACAAGTTCAAAAGAAATATGACTCGTTCGTACGTACATTTGGCAACTCAATGGGGAATCCGAACCTTCCAGCTCCCATTTCACTCCACATCATTCGCCAGGCTACACCTTTTTTCTCAGACTGCCAAATAAATTAATGGACTTTGATTTTATTCAGGTGTGCGTTTTTATTCTCCTGCACAACAAACGACAAGGTTCATGAACATCCCTCTGCCCAGAAGAAAGTCAAGTTATGAACTGTTAAGTGTGCACATGTAATGTGAACGTGCACGAGCCGGAGGGAGGCTGTCTTTAGTGACACAGTCAGTCCGTCCGGAAATCTGATACTCAAAGACGGCACTTTTTCCTAGAAAAAGTCAAAACTGAGACCTTTTCAAATTTCACCCTTGCATACTAACGAGCTTTTGATGAGTGTGTCCCGTTTGTGGAGAAAGGACAGCCAGCATTGTGTGAGTGAGCACTTAATGATGACCCGCACATGCATGCATGCTGATATATTCAGTCTCCACCAACCAGGAAGTCGACTTGTTCCTGGGAGGACTTCCTTGGGATATCATGACAGTACTGCTCGCCGGAATCGTAAATTCGCAAATGACCCGATCTGCCGGAGGAAGTCAAGTCGTTGTCGGGATATGGCTTGAGCAGGAAATGTCAACCGCACTGCTGAGACCACCCGATACGGGATTTCGCTCTCGGGCTTCAATATTTCTCCCACCGACGGCGAGAGAGAAACACAAGTCAAGAGTCAAAGATATACAAAAATCCAGCTGCATCTATTTCACTCCATTTCGTCAATGGACATGGGATTTTGAGCAGGATAAAATATTTCAAAAAGCAGCCTTCCCATTCATTTTTCCATATCTGGATTCAAAACAGAGCGAGAGAGATCAAGAGCCTGACAGTTCAAAAAATGCCCATTAGGCTCATGTACCAACATGATAAATGGATTCCAAAGAGCGAAATACAAAAGAAAACTAAAAAAAAACTCGATATTGTGGGGCTGCCTGATCATCCATTGTTCTTGCAATTCAAAATAAAATGCTGGCTCAAAAATTCCGTGAAAGCGGAGACACCGAAGGAATTCACTCGCGCACTGAATCAAAAGATTGTTCGCATTTTGGAACGAAGGCAATTTCATGCTTCGAGGCTGAAATCCCCGTCAGCCATTCGCCTGCTGTACACTCACTCCACATGTACGAACGGAGATAAGTTCTAAACATGGAAAGTGAAAGCGACGTGGTACACGTGTCCTTTATCTCAGTCTCCTAAGTTCAAAAGTCATAACCTCTGGAAAAACGGGCCCAGTTTAAAAAGCTGTATCCGAGACGGAGATTATTTACTTTCTACTCTGATCCGACTCTGAGTTGAGACTTAGAAAATCAAATCGAGGGCGGAAGCAAAAAAAGAGAGCAGAGTCCGGAAATAAAAATATGATCCTCCCGTCGAAGGAAGTGGATTATGTATTTTTGGTGGAAATCGACTAACCGAGACAAATGGGGCAGCACTGATTCTTGGCCAGAACAGGTCGGTCACACTCGAGTGGAGGACACTTTGCCACCGAGAAGCATTGGATACTCCCTCCGTCACTGCACACGCAGCTCTGACACGCTCCCACCTGCAATAAATACAAACAAGGACCCAAATACAGATTTTTAGATAACGTGCTTTACGACGAGAACAACTTTTATGACGACTCTCCTCCGAGAAATTTAATTCACAAGGCAGTGATAAATACCAGGACATTTGATTGGAGAAAGCCAGGCATACCTTCCACGTCTCCCCGTGACCATAGCTCTTGAGAGAGTCGTCCGAGAGACAGTTGGAATTTAGCGAGGAGTTGGTCGTGACGGTATTTTGGTGGGGGCAGGAGGGGCAGCATTTGGTGGGAGGGGTGGTGAGGGTGGGTAGTGGACACGGGGTGGGAGGACAATCAGGGGCGGCGCAGAGTACTTGGCCGTGGTGGCAGGTGCAGTGGAGGCAGCCCAGACCCCAACTCTCCCCCTCCAGCCGCTCCGTCCCGTCCGACGACTGACACACCGAGATGGAAAAGTTGACGTGGCCCACTTGCTCGTCTGTGGGGTCATAAAATTATATGGATAAGGTCTCCATCACTAAAATGGAATACTAGTAAAACGTCCACAGAGTGGAATATTATTAAATTCCTCTCCTTCTTATTGGGAAACGCCAATAAATAATGGCGAGCATTAATAATTATTATCACGAAAGTTGGTGGAATTTAATACTTGTGAGGATCGGAGGATTATGTACTAACCTGGACAACGCGGACAGCAATCTCCCGAGAAGAAAATGGGATGTTCGCAATTTGGAGGCTGACACGTAATGAGGGTACACATTTCAACCCCGTTTTTGCAGATACAGCGCCGACATTTATCTGTCCACTCTTCACCCTCGAATCGTGGCAGTCCATCTGAAACGTGACATTGCTTTTTCTCCGGAGAAAGCAGTAAATTCTTCTCACTGCTCGTTCCCCGCCTGTCTCCTTCGTCTTCGCCTCCTGCTCCTTGTCCTTGTTCCGTCGTCGTGAGATCTTGGCGACATTTGCATACGGAACATTGCTGCTCGTTCACCCAGAAGCCGAAGGGGCAATGGAGGTCACACCCTGCCATGTCTGTGCAGCCTGACGTGGGTTGTAACTTTGAGAGAGAACATTTGCACGTTGGGCAGCCCATCCGATCCAGACTGAAGCCATTGGGACAATCCAGTCGGTGGCAGTCCAGGAAGGGACACGAGTTGTCCTTGTCACCTCCTCCTATTCACCAACATCCATATGCATCAGATTGTGCAACGTGAATGAATGCAATTAAGGGCCTCAGCCAGACAGAGATGAATTATGCATCAATGCAATTATGCGAAAGGCACTGAAATGACTTGTGCATGTGCAGACTTGAATGAATCCTTGTTGATGATGACTGACTTACCGTTGACGAGGTCGCAGCGGGGACAACACTCCCCAGGGACGTGGACCGGGTTGTCGCAGGTGGAGTGACACATGGCTGCATGACACTGGACGCGGCCCTCTTTGCACGTGCAGGAGGTGCAGGGATCTGTTCAGGGGTTTTGATTTATGACTACGCATTTTGATCGGAGCAAAATATGGAAACTTACCCTCCTCCCACGAGTCAGAGTTGTTGTACACCCCACCCGATGCTGTCGTGCAACCCACTGCCAAAAAAAACAAATAAATGTACTTATCTACTAGGCTTATGGAATGCCTGAGAACAAACGACTGACCCAATTGGGTTCAAATTTTGCACAGAAGTATATTGGACAAAGTTTGGAGTTAATTTGGAAGATGAGCCAAGTCGGTCCAGTGGTTGACCGGTGGGGGTCATGTGTATGGGTGGGCAGGGCATTCTGCACCAAAATTTCGAATAGTGCTTGAAAGCTGAAATTTGTCACGCACTCTGCAAGAAAACCATAGCGCTGGACTCCGACACTTGTCAACTACATCCGCTAAATTAACCTTCAAGTTTACCAAACGCGATTCAAAATTTATGGCTCGAGTTTACACTCCCAACGGACTTTTCTACCAGGGTTTGGACATTTACAAAGATTTACGATATATCATGCATGGAGGGGTGCGACACTCGAGTCTCTCCCGTCCAACATAAACAAACGCACACGCATGTAAATCCATCCTTTCTTAGCAAACAAGGACTCTTGAAGTTGATCCTACTCAAAGACGCACAACAGAAGTTTCCGCAAAAAAATCCAGTCACAACAAACCAATTAATTAATTGGACTGTTAGAAGTGCTCAACCATTTTTCGCAGTGATGTAAGGAAAGGAGAGCGACGGCGTGGCTGTATTAAAATTGGCACGACAAGACTTGTTCGTTCATCATCGTTCTTGGTTGCTTAGAAGGATTTCCTTGTTCTGACACGTCGACTCGAGTGACATCATCGTCATCTTTCTAGCTAATGAAGATTTATTTGTTGCTCCAAAGTCGGATTAGTTTCTTACCCACACAGACCGGACAGCACGAGTTTGGAGGAGTGCGAGCGAGTGGACATCCTGGAGGCACGTCGCACTTGATCGGCTTGCACGAAATTACTAGGAGACAAATTTAAATGTATTTTAGTGCATTTTTTGTGGCAGTGGTGTCACACAATTATGGGAATGGAGATCGCTACCCCCATCCTGCAAAGGGCTCAAAGCACCCAGTCAGCCTTCCTTGGCTGGGTGAAAGTCCTTCAACAAACAAAAAGAGCCCTATAGCTAGTCCCTCCAAACAACCTGACCTTACCTCCATTGTGACAAAAGCATTCCGAGCAGTCCTCCCGATTCGACCACGTTTCTCCCGACGAGTAGTCTCGCCGATTGTACTTGCAGCCCTGGTGAAACTCGTCCACTTCCACCGGACCTGTAAAAAGATTTCTCATCACATACTTGATTCACTTCTCTTTACAGATTGTGTTCCTCTGGGAATGGGAATCAATGAGTAAGTGCTCTAAACAGAGTGCGAGACTTTACTCCCACTTTATTATGGCTTTTGTCCCACTTATCCTCATTATCATTATCACCACCACCACCACCGGTGATGATGATGATGAGGTCTGCTCTGCCCGGCCCGATTTTCATTAAATATTTACACTCCTTGAAACTATCCCATTACTTCACCTTTGAAACTTTAATGGATCTCACAGCCACGCATTCACTTTCACCCTGCTCCCACTCCACAGCATGGCCAGAAAGTAAGCAAGACATCTCCCTCGCTCGCTGAGAAATGTACAGATTAATTTCAGAGTCTAAAAAACTTTGGAAATAAATTGGGATGAAGGTGCTGCTTTCTTCTTTGAGGGGACGCGCAAGGCTGCCGGACGGCCCCCTTGGTCCGACCCCCTCCACTCCATACACATCCGTGTGAATGATACATATGCACGCCAGAGCAAGCTGTGGTGGTTCTCACTGAGAGTGGGCACGATGCGAGTAATTAATCTCAAATTTATGACCACAAAAAGTTAAGTCGTGCACAAGTCGTGCAAGAGAAAGTTGGCCAAGACGTCATAATTATTATCCGATAAATTATTAAAAGTAAGTTCACCACACACAACGAAGCAAGACGGGCGAAGGTGGTGGATGCGGAAACGGCCTTTCTCCACGACTTTCACTTTCCTCCAGTGTGGAGAGAAGGAAGCATAATTGGGATGTTTCATCACAAACGAGGCGAAATTTCCTATTCGAATCCTCTCATTTTCTAGCCAAGTAATTCTCCTCTTTCACATCTCGCATAATAACACGAAAAAAACTTGTACTTGCAACTATCTAAGTGTGCTGGAATTTTGCAAAAGTTGCAAAATTGTTCAACCGTTGAATATGCATTGATGAGCAATGATAACAGGAAAGTTGGAAACTAGTTCGACTCGTTTCAAACTTGTGATAAAGACATGAATTTGCAATTTGAATGTGTGACCAATTTCTTTCAGCAGGTGGTGAAATCTCATCAAAGTTTGTGTAAACTTGTGGTCTTCTCACCACTCGTACAAATTTGTGCTCATTCACACCCATTCCTAATGCCCATTGCTATTTTCATCAACTTGGTAAAAAAAAGTTTATCGCACAGGCACGGACGAAGGAGGCGTCAAGTACATGCAGATTGGTTAATTTGATAGCAAGACCAGGGTCGTGGCTTTTAGTTGGTGGAGGTATTCGCCTTTCACAACCACCGTAGAGTTGGTGGTTCGCTGCTAAATGCTCTGGAAATTGGACATGTGGACGCAGACCGAGTGAGATATTATTACGCCCGTAAATCATTTATGGTGACAAGTCCAAATCGTACGCTTTTCGTGGTGCATGGAAATCTGAGCCGTCTGCCCCCACCATTAGTTGGGTGGTCCGCAAACGAATAATTCAGCCCGCCGCATTATTATTATGTCCCATTTAGTTTACGATCCAAGAAACCATTCCATATGCAAATATGTATTTTTGTTTGTTTTTAATAAGCAGTTTGACGACCAGAATGGCAATAGTTTAGTAAATAAATATACCCCAAATGTGTATGTGTACTTACTTGGCGTGCATTGGAATTTGGGACAACAACGCCCAGGTTCTCGTGTCGAATTTTGTACAAGTTTGGGGCCTGAGCCTGGGGGGCAGTAGGGAGCGGAGCAATGCAGGCCCGGGATGCACTGACACTTTTCCAGGGATTGCTCCGGACAGCAGCGCTTCTCTGCAGACAGCCCATCCTCCTGTGTCCCCTCTGGGTGGGCGTGGTGTTGGAGGTGGTGGTGGTCCACGAGGGAGGGCAGCCTGTAGCTGCAGGGAAAAGTCAACACAAAAATATTGCTCATCTCTTCATGATCATTTCGCACATTTAGTACAGGAAAACGGCATGTCGAAATCAGGGGGATAATAAATGGCAAAAATAAGAAAGTAAACATACAAGCAAGTGAATATTTAGTGGGGTCACCGGCCATATTTAGAACAAACGTATACAAATCTATACAAATGAGGGATTGGAAGAATTGTCTTTACCTGTCTGCAGGACACGGGGGTGACACGGGAGGACACTGAACTTTCGCACAGTCATCATCTGCAACCACAAAGAAATTGAGTATGAGAGGACGAGTCAATTATTCCTGTTTGCAGTGTCAACATGAGCGGAGGAGCAGAAGAGTGATAAATTCTGTTCGTCGTCTGGACGCAATCATCATATTTCATTGTTTGCATAAGGCTTGACAGGCCGTTGGCCGCTCAAGAAGAATCGAACGGCGGCGGCGGCGGCCACAACGACGGAGATTAGCTAAATATTCCACAATCTGTACGTACACACGCTCGTCTTATTTATGCAGTGGATGCACAACATGCAGAAAGAGAGAGTCCACGCGAGGAGGTAAATATAGCCATCAAATAATCATAAAATTCCTCATCTGCTTTTACAACAGTTTGAAAAAAGGGCTCGTAAAGTAGTCACTTCATTCTCGAATTGAAATGTGACGACGATAACAATTGGACACACACTAAACTTATGATTGAAAGAAGTACATACGTAACACCACCATCATCCTGAACCAGCAATTTTCACTCAACTTTAATAAATTTGTGTCATCTCCTTTCCTCGTCCAGTCCTCCTTCTTCGTCACAATCCACAAGTGTCACAAAGTCATACGTACGTACATATGGTCTTAATAGAAAAAAGTCGTTGGAAACTTTGTCAGTTTCAACTTTCACAAGTTTCCAACTTTCCCCCCCCTGTTTTTTTAACTTTCTGCTCAATAAATAGAGAATTTCTGTGCAAATATCAAATATTAGATTTTGTAAATGTCCTAAAAATTCGCAACTTTAAACTGTAACAACTTTTTGAGTAAATTGTGAATTCAAACCGATCTCAGGAGTCAACGTAATTGCATTAGAGCCTTTGGACTTTTTACGTATGGAGACCACATCCTCGCCGCATAAGTACATATCATTTTTTGCCTTGTGTAACTTTCTCACGCTTTCCCCGTATTTCCCACCGTCAAGCCATCTCACCTGCGTGGGTTTGCACATCAACTGCCCATAAACCTAGCACCCAAAAAACAAAGTCGTCGAAAAACAATGAGCATGATCTACTTTCCACCCAACAAATTTCGCAAGGTAAGAAGTTTTTACTCCAATTCTCTGGAGACAAATGAATTGCATGTGTAAACAGCCTCTGGAAACCATGAATTTTGTGAGGCAGAGTGCGTCCTGGTATGTGCATAAACATGTAGAACATGTTTACAAAATGTCCAGAAAATATGTAAATCAGCCTCCCACAGCTACCAAATAAGTGCGTATGTAAGCAGAGTCAAAAGTATCTAAATTTTTCAATTACTCGGTTCCCACCTTTAAATTTTTGGATGAACAGGGTGCCCACTGGGTGTGTACCCAGTGGGCATGTCTGTCTCGGAGAGACTGAAAGACTCTGCTAATGGAATTCTTAATCATGTTTCGAGCGTGTAGAATCAATTGTCACCTCATCTGTCGCATTTCTTGCGTAACTCTTTATGTAAAGAGTAGTTAGCAACTCCATCAAATTGGATTATGAAAGAAATCCGTCGTCACAGTTGGCTGGCAATGGTGAGAAAAATTTGGGGTATGAATTACACAATCAATTTATCCCATAAAGCTGATAAAACTTTAGAGCACAACGGTCACGGAAATTGCAAGGACATTTACGTGCCGAATCGCCTCGTTGAACGAGGATAACGAGGAAATACCTGTCGCCTCCTGAATATAATACCAAGCTCACCATTTATTTCTTCTGCATTTTTTACATGTTACACTCCACTCAAAACCAGAGAGAGAATAGATGCACATGGAGCAGAGGGATCTAATGATGACCATCTTGTCAAGGAACGAGAGGCCGTCTTTCTTGGAGGCTTTGTGTCGATGTCGTTACGTAGCTCCAAGTCTTGACCTCATGCTGGTGGGAACGCTGTTTGGGAAGAGGTGGGTCATGTAATGTTGCTGAGATGATGTAACTTATTGTGAGACAAGAGTCCTTCTCTCTGATCACTCGCAATAATGATACCAACCAAGTCGACCCGTGATGACGAGGACAGAGTTCATTTCACTCCACGGGAGATTGAGATGAGATGTCACTCTCTGCAGAGCGGAGGAGGAAACGCTCTCCCAATGACAAGCCAACTAATAGAATTCGCGCATCTCTTTGCGAATCACTTTCTGCAAAGGTCAGTCTCAAAACGAGTCTTCATGTGCATGGTATTGATAGCATCTCACAATTCGAAAGTTTTGCATAAACTCTCAATCAAAATGCAAGCTGTTTGCTTAAATTGCTCAATTTTCTGCATTTTACGCAAAACAGCAATTAGGGATTTATGGGGCCCCATCACATCACATTTGTGGTCTGCATGCGAGGGATGGTGTGTGAGCAAAAGACGACCCCAGGCGAAACAACGAGTACAACATTTGTCGTCCCAACACCAAATAATTGATACTTTGAGCACCAGAAGATCATATCCCCTCAAGAGCGAATGAAGAACCGATCGATGGCCATAATAAACAGCGAATCCATGCAAAATAAACGCCATTAATTAAAGCGATCGAGTCTAATCTGTAGTTGTGGTGGCTGCGGAGTGACCCCACCTTCCTTCTGCCTTCTGCGTACGTACATATGTACAGATATATAGCGTACATATATGTGCATCCTATTAGACCAGACTAAAATCTGTCTGTGCCGTGTTTTCGTCGGCCACACTGCTTCAGGCCAAAATACAGGACTGATAGTACGACGACTGCTTCCTCCATATCACCACTCGCTCGAGAAATTAGTCCCATTAACGCCAACGTTAAGTTTAATTTGGGTGTTTGTTGGGGAGCTTTGTCGAGCAACCAAAGTCGGACTTGCCAAATCGGAAAGTAATAATGATTCATGTTTGTATTAAATTACAGTAAATTATGAATTATAAATGCATTACACACAACATTGGTCATACACAACCACCACTCATCCCGTATCAAGAGTCTAGATAGATAGCAATACGGTCATGTTGGACATGGTTGTGTGTGTATTCTTCTCGTGCTTCAATAGTGCTGCCATGTATTCTGCAACGTGAGATCCTGTTCGATCTGTGGATGGAACAAAGCGGACAAACATTTTAATCTGGTAATGACCTGTAAAATTTAATGCGCTCAGAGGAGTCAATCCTATTCAATAAATATTGGACCTGAGGAGCACCTAATGATTTGGTCACGATAATTCCAAAGGGATCTCTTGCATATCAACGTGTAAGTCACAAACCAATGCAAATGCACAGTTTGCTGATTTTAGTACAGACTCAAAATACATTGCAATTAAATTTTCTGGCCCTATCGACGATAAGTTGTAAATAGCGACGGACTGGTGCATGGATGTGATGAGGGATCCCTTCTTCTTCCCACCAAAAAAGAAGACAAGACAATGGTGAAGGTTCCAAGTACACAATTCCGATGAAGTGAATGGCTCTATTACAAATTAACATTTTCCACGGCCAAATAAGGAATCTCTCTCCTGCGATCACTTTTCTGCTCGCACATCCCGACCGACCTCTTCCTCCTCCTGCATTGTCTGAAGAGGCATTAACGCGAACATTGTCGACTCGTAACAACAATACAAAGGGTGAGAGACATCCATGTAAAGACGAGGATTAAACTCACACTGATCGCCTTTTATCAGGCAAGATAGGCACGTAGACGGACAAGGAAAGTGAGCTCTCGTCCACTAAAAACTCGTAAAACGGCTTGAGCTCTTTTCTTTCATTTTAACAAATAATAATTTTTATGTTGTTTGTCTTTTGTCCAAAAACAAAGAAAGAGAAGAATTTCTGCACCATCGTGTCGAGATCAGTGCGGGGCGTTATTACATCGCATTCACATGCATATCATTTATCTCTCTCTAGCTGTTGTGGGTTTTATTTGGCCGAGTAATTTTAATCCAACAAGTTTTACCTGGCTGCCTGGTGGATGTACAAAAGGTGAAACGGCGGTGGTGGTGCACAAATGAAATGGTTCACCACCTTCTTTTTCCCGAGTCCTTTGGCTTTGTTTTCTCTCTGGGCTTCGAATTTATGACCGTCTTATCTTATCTTTATGACAAAGTTGCTGATACTTTTATTATTATGATGTTCTTCTTTCTGCAAACAGCCGCAACAACAAGGTCAACAATAATACCCACCAATCTGCTACATTTACATCTCCCCATACGCGCTCACAGGCTTTTTTTTTATTTGTGCAACTCGTGTTTGCCCGTTGATTAGAGTCCTTCTTGGCGATATTACTGCTTTTGACTTTGGGTGGGTGGGTGGCAGAGGTGATGCTGATTAGTGTGCTTTCTTGGTCGGACGTTAACATGGTCACGACGTAGCACGTATGGGAGAGAAAAGTAAACATTCCTTGTGAAATGCACACATAAGTAGGTACGTATATTGCCAAATAATCACCCTCATCACCGCTCAATAAGCCAATGCCCTTGACTCTAGAAATGGAGTGCTAACTGCTCTGTATTGGCCCAGGCGGGGTAGCGAGTGAGGTATGACGACGCTAATTGCGAATATGGAAGCTTGTCTCTCTCTGAAATATTGTCTCGCAAATATTTTCTTGCAAGTTTGGTCATTCATCTTTTTGCTCTCATTTCGCCCAATCAGGGGAAACCTAGAAGTCCTCGATCCAACACGACAAATTTGTATCCTTCCTGGCATTCCAGGCCTGGCACATAAACAGGGATAATAATCATTAGGACGGAGCGGGGCATGATTTACGGCGAGTGTGTCCTGATGGTTGGCTACCTTTCCCTTGTTTCCCGTTCCTCCTCCTGCAGCCCCTGGTTCGGGTGGCGGTGTGATCCTAATGAAAGCACACCGCAAATCTCAATTCATTACGAAGAAAGCTTTCCTTCCTTCCATGGCGACTACCACCTCCGAGGAGAGCCGCCATTAGCCCCAACTGCCGAGGTAATAGCACTGCCACCGGAAAACACCACCAAACTTCTTGGCCACATGAGCATGAGCAGCAGCCAGGGTGGTATTATATATTTGCAACTGCACAATAATCACACCAAATAATCTCATTTGC